AATGGGATGTATATTTTGCTACTTATATCATATTAACAATTAAATGGATTTAGATGGTATAGTGCATTGAAATGTATATATATATATTTTGCGACTTACTAGATGTAATTATATGTATTTGTATATAGTGCAAGGAGGCCCCGCCCGCAAGTGAAATGTGTGTTGGTTTAGATTTATCCGAATCATAAACCCCTCGTGAAACACATTACAAACCAACTTAGCAACCTTTAAGGGGCCACTTTGTGGGTTATACATCTAAAAAAATACCCTTGATGATGGTTGAATCACTCTTTTTGATGGCAACAAATCATACCATTTGGAATTTTGTTACATAGCTATGGACAATGGCCCATGTAGTTCGTTGGTTTGCCTATCAAAATGATGATCTTTCATCGCAAACTGCGACACATCACCAAAGGGTAATCATCATTAACCATAAAATGGTAACCTGGTAGTAAGCGTGATATTCCAGCATTTTTCGATGCAAACGTTACAAAACAATGTTTGATGGTTTCAAACTCGCCATTCCTGATATTTCTTTACGGCCAGTACCGATGGCCCGATGTTTGATGCTCACCATTGTTGATGGTATATCGGTATATCCCCACCTTCCATTACGAGAGGCTACGAGTAGCGAAAGTCAACAGGCAAATTACCAGTGGGGTTTTCGAACACAAACATGTTTGATTTACCATAACACGGTAACCATATCTTATTCCTTTGTGAAAAATTGATGATCAATTCACGGAATCCTGTTGGTTCTAAACCAATGTGGGGCCCCCCGGCCACGATATGTGAACGTTGGCTTAGATTCGCCCCAGTAACAACAGTTATAAGTACCATAAACCATAGTGAAATTGGAGTTATGTGAACCGCGACTTAGCGATTTCGTGGCCGGGGGCCTCACATTGTAAGAAAAACCATGAAAAACCAGCCTCCCAGCCAGTCCTGCTCGGCTGACATAGGTCATGTCCTGCATCGACGGCCGGCCCGAAGATGCCGTGGCTGCAGTCGACACTGAAGAAATCCTGGCCGTCATGGCTTGGGGCACAGGGGATTCAAAATGGGGGGACGGAAAAACATATGGAGTTTATGGGAACAATATGGGAATTGTGGATATATCTATGGGGGAAACCTAAGGGAATTATAATATGGGAACATCTAATTTTTCAGAAATTTTCACATGGAATGAAGTCATTCGGGGCTGATTAAAACCATCCAGATACTTGTTACGGTCATCTCCAGTCGCCTCAAATGAACCAGCCACAAATACCCCATTTCTTATTCATATGGGTTAGTTCACAATCTGCAATACCCTCTGGTAAACTAACATAGCTATTGAAAATCGCAATTTATAGTGGTTTTACCCATTAAAAATGGTGATTTTCCATAGCTATGTTAGTTTACCAGAGGGTAACTTTGGTAGTATGACACCCTATTTCATAACCAATATACAATCATGTTTGGTCATATCAAGCTATATCGTGTTATATATCCAAGTTTGATGGTTAAAACACACATATATATATATATTTAAATAAGAATCCCAACAAATTTACCACTCAGCCAGGGTATGTTATTCATGGTTCAAGTCTATTTCCTCGACAACTTTGGAACATCATCCATGGCCATTCAAGCTGGGTGGTGTCACACCCGGCTTTTGGCAAGCATTTATTTTCCATGTCACACACACATACACAAACAATAAGGCAGTAGCAAGAAAAATATCAGAAAACGGAGATTGTTTTCTGTTGGTACCACCAAAGCACCACTATATAGTAATTTAACATATCAAATAATTAATTACTGAAGTGTATGACTTATAGTATATAGTAAAAAAACATGAATGAAACTAAACCATGTCGATCTAAAACATGCCTATCTAACTCAGCCCACGCCAAGCAACGACCAGCTCACTGTTGGCGATGTGATGGGCGACATGGTTCCTGTTGGATAGCTCAAACTGGAACTGCATCCCCCAAGTATAGGGAAAATTTTAGCAACACCCAAACATGAATGAATTCACACTTCACAGTCCACAATCCCCTACTTTCCCCACTCAACACTCCACTATCTTCACACTCCACACTTTGCACTCCACCTCATTCCATACTCCACAGTCTACTTGTACGGTCACTGGGGAAGAATATATACGACTGTTGCAATAACTTGTTTCACAAAAGTGTTTTACGTGATTGCATTCGGGTTCGTTGGTTGCTCTTGTTTGAATAGCTACCCTTCGGTGATTTTTTGTTATTTAACAATATTTAACACAGCTATCGAAGATCCCCATTGTTGATAGGGAAATCATCACAAATCATGTATGAATTTGGCATTTTCCATGGCTATGTTAAGTAACCAGAGGCTAAATCATGGATATCATGGTTCATCCCCACAAAAATAGGTACAACCCCTGTAAAGTAACCCCCGTAAGCATCATTCCCTTCCCCTATGAAGCATTAAAATCTTAAGGATTCTTAAGGGAGATCCGAAAAAATCCGAACAAATCCGACACGCGCAGCGTCAACCCCAGCGAAAACACGCCAAGAGACACAAGAGACACAAGAGACGGCGAACAGTATTCCTAAGGGCCTACTGAACTCCTGTCGAGTGTTTGAACCCCTGAGGCGGAGCGGCGACGCGTTTTTTTTTGTTTTGGTGTTTCTGCTGTTTGACGAAAACAAAAACACTGACACCTAGAGAAAATGGTGCATTTAACTATTTTTAACTCATAAACACATGGAACTTATGGAACCTCCAAGTTGGATTTCCATCTGATGTGTTTCCATCTGATCCCATTCGTGGCTCGTTCAGTCACTCGTATAATGGACATACTTCAATTTACTTGGTACTTCAACCGAGAAGTAAAGGTTAGTTGGCTGGTGGCTCCTCCCGCCCTTAGTTATGGTTAGTTCACCCCAGATGATAAGTCTGGGTAAATGAAATCATAATTCACCAACCTGAATTGTTGGGCCATTTGGGGATGATTTCCCGCAATCTAACCATGATTCCAGAGATCGGGAGAACAGTGAGGTCGTTATAATTTACCCAGATAAGTGGATTAACCCCACTTATCTCACTTAACGAAACCACGGATATAGCCGATTGGATTCGTCGGATAACTTACGATTCGTGGGTCGTTCGCCACCAAGTAATTCACCTCAGCAAAAGGGAGTAATTGCCCCGATTCTGAATTGACCTCAACTACCCTCTGGTAAACAAACATAGCTATGGAAAATGGCCATTTATAGTGGATTTTCCCATTGAAAATTGGGATCTTCATGGTTACGGTTAGTTTACCGGAGGGTAACTTGCGATTCCTGCTGGTGAACTAGCCAGGAATCGCAACTCGACTAGACCTCACCCAATCGTCTGCGTGGATTCTTGGAGAATCGTGGGCAAAGTTTGGGTGGCCCATTTCAAGTTCTGGCAATCGGTTACCCTCTGGTAAACATACAAAAAGCTATTGAAAATGGCCATAGAAATAGTGGATTTACCCATTAAAAATGGGTGGATCTTTCCATAGTTACGTTAGTTTACCAGAGGGTACCGTAAATCATGGAGTGGAAAAACCGAGACGGTGGGCCAAATCTCAGATTTTCCATGATTTTCCCACCTCCGAGGCTCATCCTACGCAGCTTAGTTCACCGATTCTAAGCCCTCTGGTAAACAAACAGTTCTTGGAGCTTTAAGACGAAACCTGAACAATGGGATCCCAGTTAGATTACTGCAGTTTTTTCATATGTGACGTGGTCAACACATTGTAGCTATTGAAAATGGCCCAGTCGAAATAGTGAGTTTTCCCATTCAAAAAATTAAAATGGGTGGATCTTTCCCTCGTTTTTTGTATGTTTACCAGAGGGTAACCCCACCTCTCCCACTTATAACAAGGGATATCACCTGGATTTCTGGGAAAGACCACATATTTCTATTGGGCTTCAGCATGGTTCAGCCAGCCCAAATCATCTCACCCACGACCACCGGGGGAAAGTAATCTTTCCAAAAGCGGTTCCAAGGATAAATCTACTTGGTGGTGAACTACCCAGGAATCGTTTAGGTGGGTTATAAGTCCAGTTTTTTTAGTGGATTAACCCTACTTATCCCATGTATAACTGGGGTTGTAACCCACTTACTAGGTGGGATGAACCACCAAGTAGCCCCAATGACTTACCCAAAAACCGTCCTTGACCACCAAGTAGCCCCAATTTCACATAGCTATGGAAAAACACACCATGTTCAATAGGTAAATCATCGATGGGCCGTTTCCTGAAAATAACGGTAGGGTACATCGGTACATGTGAGATTTATGACAACACGGGCTTACCACGTACAGTCCCATGGTGCGATTCATGTGTGTTGAGATGTGTTGAGTGCCATGGAACTTCAAGGTTTTCTACCGATGCCATCTACGCAACAATACCCCATCTTACCCTAGGGTCTTTTAGCGTTTACATATGGAAAATGGCCCATGTCGATGGGAATTTCAGGATCCAACAGATGGAGGTACGTAAACGTACCATTTTTCAGGCCATATGTTCTGGGGATATTCCCTTACATAGGCCTGAATGATGGGGGCCTTATGGATCCTTATGGTAGGTACCTCCAATCAATCGGTTCCTGAAATGGCCATTGACCTATGCGTTCCTTACAAAAGGTGCATCGACTTGATCCATGAAGAGAGCCATGGTTTAATCCAAGCCATTTGTTGATGGTCAAATTTCATGGTGAAAGCCAACTCCAACTCACAAGCCACATGGTCTTTTAAACACTTCAGATAGAGATCCAAAGTACAAATATGGATCTGAAATTAACGACGACCCAAATCAGAGTCCGCATTTTGTTAAACAAATAATCAAATATATATATACTGTATATATATATATACATACGTTTAGGTCCAACAAACTATGGTATACCCATATTATAAACCAATATGTATAAATAAATAAATCCAAAACCCAACAGTTCTTGTTGGATGCGTTTTCTGCTGATCCAGTCACATTCTTCCTCTTCACCCAATGCACAGCGCAGTCGCAACCTGAGCTTGCGGCTTCCAATTGAGAAATAGCCACCCTTTACAACAATGAATAAACCGATGATTTATAAGGGATTATGGTGGGATAACTCAAATAACTGGGCTTTATCGGGGTTATATCTATCCGGGTAAAGCATAATAATTCACTAAGCTGAAATGTTGGGCAATTTTGGGATGATTCTTCTTACTAACCATGATTCCAGTGAGGGAGAACAGTGAGGTCGCTATAATTTACCCAGAACAATGAAAAAACAGATGATTCCTTACACATATGCTCCATGGTGCTGGTATAATTAACCTATAACTGGGTGATTCTTAGGACACCCAAGAGGGTCCCTGAAGTCAGCAAAAGCGGACCTTGTCGGGGCTTTTGCGTGGGATCCACAACAAGACATGGCCCACATTTTTAACAAACCCTCAAAAAACGTAGAAATGGTATGAAATGGTAGGTTAATTACTGTTCCATCTGTTGATTTTTTCGGGGGTACTACAGGTGTTCGTTTGGGGTCACGAAACTAGTGAACCAACTGGGTACTTGGTGGCCCATCTCACTTAGTAAATGGGTGATAACATTGGTTGTAAATATGGGATAAGTAAACTTAGTCCACTTATAACCAAGGTTACAACCGTTATAACCCACTTACGAAGTTGGATGAACCACCAAGTATCCCTATAAATCTCACAAAATCCCATTAAGCCCCATTAAAATCCCATTAAAATCCCATTAATATGATCTTTCACAACCTGAAATTAGGCTATGGGGATGATTCAAGGCCGACCCTCCGGCCGGTGACACTGTGTGACACTGTGGAGGTCTTCACCGGCACTGGGCTCACTGAATGATGTATAGGTTATAACATGTCATAAGCCTACAATGTGAGGCCCCCGGCCACGAAATCGCTAAGTTGGGGTGAACTAATCACTCCAATTTCACTATGGTTTATGGTACGCAAATAACTGGGCTTTATGGGGGTTATATCATGATATATCTATCTGGGTAAATTATAATAATTCACCAACCTGAATTGTTGGGCCATTTGGGGATGATTTCCCGCAATCTAACCATGATTCCAGTGAGGGAGAACAGTGAGGTCGTTATAATTTACCCAGATACATATAAGTGTGTTGAAACCCCACTCATTCCACTGAAATCGCCACAAATATAAGATGATACAAGTTAAGCTACTTACCTTCCGAAAATCACCGAACGAAATTGAGGTTTAGTTCGCCCAAAATGGTAGATTTTCAAGCCATGGATGCGCATCCCACGAACCGGATCCATGGTTTAGAATCCATATATAACCCTTACCCATGTATAAGTGAGGGCATTCCATATGTACTGGTTGGTGGTATACCTACCCATCTGAAAAATATGAGTTAGTCACTTGGGATGATTATTCCCAATATATGGAAAATTAAAAAATGTTCCAAACTACCAACCAGCAAATATATATATATACATATCATATACATATCATGACATTATATGACCCATTTACGCGCCGTGGGGTCCGCACCTCCAAGTAAGTGGGATGAGACACTCCATCCTTTACCCTGAACCAAGATGCAACGCGGCAAAATTGTACCTTGGTAGCACAGGGCCCCCCGAGAAGGAGAACGTGGTTTATAACTAGGCAGGATTGATGGTGTATATATATATAACCCTCTGGTAATCAAGCGTGGCAATGGACAATTCCCTACAACAAATTGATTTCAAAGGGACATTATCTATTAAATTTGGATTTTTCCAGCACGCCATGTTTGATTACCAGAGAGTATCTATAGTATTCTATAGTTAGATGTGCTCAAACAACTGATAAGTCAGGGGCACCATCGAAGTAGCACCCAGCCTCTGAAAGAATCATTGCAGGAGCTGGTTGGTTGAAAGAAGAAAAAGTAAGAGTTCACCCTCCAAACATATCCAAAGCCTGGGGGTATTCTCTTTGGTTATTGAACAGTTTGCTATGGAAAATGATCAATTTATAGAAGATGTATGATGATTTATCGTTCTTAAAAATGGGGATTGTCCAGTTCCCTAAGGTAGTCATTGCCAGATGGTATATTTCGTTGAATTGTGGCTTATTTTCCCGTTGCAAAACACCATTTATAGAGAAGCTAGCCATCGTTTGATTACCATTTATACGTTCTTCTATAAATCCCCTGAACTATCCTATATGCTCCATGGTGCTGGAATATGAATGCCAACATTGGCCCGAACAAAATCACCCAGTTATGTAGGTAAATATACGAGCACCATGGGTTGCATATGGGTATAGTATACTACAGTTCTTCCATAAACCCTTAAGTTCCGTAGAGTTCACCAAAGTGGTTTGCATCAAGCAGTCGCTACAAAAAATCCCCAGGTTTTTTTTGTCGGCAATTCCCCGTTGGATCCATCCACCAGCGTTAGAAATTTAGAAAGTCATAGGGATGGATGATGATTCGGGATGTTTTTTTGGTTGGATTGTTGGGATGCAAGCCCCCAGTGGCAACATATTTAGGGATGGCGGTGATTCCCAGTTCTTGGATGATGACAACCTCCTCATCTCGCCCAAAACAAAGGTTTAAAAAAAAATGAACCCACTCATAATGGTCAACCAACCATTGTTATCAATGATATTATCCCATATCTATGATTCTTCACTTAAAACCCCCCATATGGAGGTTTCGATGTGGCCCTAAATCGTCAATTGCAATTGAGGATTTTCCATGAAATAATCAGTTTTCATAACAATTATAAACCATGCATTCTTGGGATCCCCCATTTGTGGAAGCCCCTATGATCATGGCCAATCTTAGATACCCTGCAAAAAAAACAATTTCTTAGCTGGTGAACGTAGATAATCCCATTGGTACCAGAAGACTAAAGGACTAAACTACCCATCTAAGATTGACCTAGTCAAGGGGTTTCTTGCAAATGTTCCCGTAAACCAATCCATACAATGTGGGGCCCCCAAACGTTATGTTTGTTGGTTTAGATTCGCCCCAGTGACTAGTTCGTTATAAGTACCATAAACCATTGTAAAATTGGAGTTATAAACCAACTTAGCTAGTATGTATATATATATATATAGATAGATAGATAGATAGATAGATAATGATAGATAGATAATGATAGATAGATAATGACAGATAGATAATGACAGATAGATAATGATAGATAGATAATGATAGATAGATAATGATAGATAGATAATGATAGATAGATAATGATAGATAGATAATGATAGATAGATAATGATAGATAGATAATGATAGATAGATAATGATAGATAGATAATGATAGATAGATATGATAGATAGATCGATAATGATAGATAGATAATGATAGATAGATAATGATAGATAGATAATGATAGATAGATAATGATAGATAGATAATGATAGATAGATAATGATAGATAGATAATGACAGATAGATAATGACAGATAGATAATGACAGATAGATAATGATAGATAGATAATGATAGATAGATAATGATAGATAGATAATGATAGATAGATAATGATAGATAGATAATGATAGATAGATAATGATAGATAGATAATGATAGATAGATAATGATAGTTAGATAATGATAGATAGATAATGATAGATAGATAGATAGATAGATAGATAATGAGATAATGATAGATAGATAGATAGATAGATAGATAGATAGATAGATAGATAATGATAGATAGATAATGATAGATAGATAATGATAGATAGATAATGATAGATAGATAATGATAAATAGATAATGATAGATAGATAATGATAGATAGATAATGATAAATAGATAATGATAGATAGATAATGATAGATAGATAATGATAGATAGATAGATAGATAGATAGATAGATAATGATAGATAGATAATGATAGATAGATAATGATAGATAGATAATGATAGATAGATAATGATAGATAGATAATGATAGATAGATAGATAATGATAGATAGATAGCATAATGATAGATAGATAGATAATGGATTAGATAGATAAAGAGGATAGATAATGATAGATAGATAATGATAGATAGATAATGATTAGATTAGATAATGATAGATAGCTAATGATAGATAGATAATATAGATAGATAATGATAGATAGAGAATGATAGATGATAATATTAGAAGATAATGATAGATAGATAATGATAGATAGATAGATAGATAGATAGATAGATAGATAGATAGATAGATAGATAGATAGATAGATAGATAGATAGATAGATAGATAGATAGACAAAATGATAGATATATCACCTATAAGCCGTAGTTATTATTGGAGTTATGTGAACCCCAACTGAACGCTATCGTGGCCGGGGGCCTCACATTGTATGATGCTTCAATCTCCATGAAAATTCACCGATCATCAACGGTCGTTTCCAGGCATAGCTGCATAGCTATACCCAAAAGGTCAGGTTTTCGGCGAAGAATCGGGGAAAAGCACAGGAAAATGGTAACTTCACCACGGTGATTTGTGGTGATTTAATGTGATTCATAGCTGAGGTTACTAAAATCTATCCATACATATTCTGGTTGGTGGTATACCTACCCCTCTAAAAATATAAAAGTCAGTTGGGATGACGAAATTCCCAATATATGGAAACATAAAATTCATGTTCCAAACCACCAACCAGGATTTATAGCTGATTCATGACAGCTAAGTTGACAGGATTGTAGGCACAGTTCTCATCGCGCCTTTAAAGCAGCTTCGTACTGCATGAAGCGCCCTGACTCTTCCAGTAGAAGCACAAGCTGCCATGCAAAGTGAAAGCCCCCAAGAAGTTAACACAAAGAACATCAAATAACTTGGTGAACTAGGGTTGATTAGAGGGATATAGCTACAATGTGGGGCCACCCAGTTATGTTTGTTGGTTTATAAACCCCAGTAACTATAGTTATAAGTACCATAAACCTTAGTTATTGGGGTTATAAACCGACTCAGCTATCTTGGGGGCCTCACATTGTAGAGTTCATGGGTTTTTAAAACATTTTAAACCAACAAGAAGATATCTGGAGGAGGGCCTCACCTTACATGAGAAAACCCATTGATGGTAGAGATTATTCCCGGGGGAAGTCTCACGGCCCAGTGCGAAGTGATAACTGCAGTATGAACAAAATCAACGATTTACTTACCACAACTATAGCTAAAATGTGAGGCCCTCAAGATAGCTAAGTTGGTTTATAACTCCAATAAGTATGGTTTATGGTACTTAAAACAAACTAGTTACTGGGGCGAATCTAAACCAACAAACATAACGTTTGGGGGCCCCACATTGTAGGTAAGTAATAATATGACTGACCTAGTTCGATGATTTTCCGTAATCAACAATTGTGACTGTCCATAGCAATCTGTTAAATTACCAGAAGGTGGTTAGGAACGGACTAAGCAATATCCACAAGCAGTGGCTGCTAAACCCGAGGCCTGTTATTCCATTCAATCCTGGGTAAATAACTTGATGATTCCCAGTTAAGGTGTATGAAAATCCAGAATGTGTATCTGGTTGGTGGTTTCAACCCCCCCCGAAAAAATATTAGTCAGATTGGATCATCATCATCATCATCATCATCATGGCAACTATTGGCGAAAATAAAATTCCTGTTCCAAACCACCAACCAGGTATACTTGGTAGTTCATCCCACTGGTTTTGTTAATGGGCTAAGTAAGTAGGGTTAATCCACTTTTGACTGGAGTGAACTAAACCATCTAAACGATTCCTGGGTAGTTCACCACCAAGTATTAACTATAATTACACTGTGGGGCCACCCAGTTATGTTTGTTGGTTTATAAGCCCCAGTAACTATAGTTTTAAGTACCATAAACCATAGTTATTGGAGTTATAAACCAACTTAGCTATCTTGGGGGCCTCACATTGTAGTTATGTCTACCATAAACCATATAATTCAGCCACTTCATCTGTGGTGGTTTCCTAAAACTGGGATGACCTCCAAATCATCCAATTTAATTGTTTTTCCATTATAAACAATCCATTTTGGATAGCACCCCATTGATGGAAAACCACTTAAACGTCAACTTCCTAAAACTGGGATGACCCACCAACTATAGAAAGGCTGGTTTAGCAGACCCCGAATCCACAACCATCAGGGGTGTCTCGCAGCCACTGCTCTCTTGTCATCCTACTTGGAAGTGCAGTTCCAGTCTAAGTGGGTATATATATATGTAACCATAAAAAACATATCTAACAATGTAAAACCATATATAATATATAATATATAACCATATGTAACCATATATAACCTCATTTTTAGGGGTTATATCCGCAACTTATGGGACTTCATACTGGCGACAACCCATAAGTTAGCAACCTCAGTCCACCCCCAAGTAGCGCTATCTTCCCATATCATGAAAAATGCATTACTATGATTTACTATGTAGGGTGTGTACACCATTTTCAGAGAACCCCCACATCCAAAACGTGCGCATGGCAAAACGCCATCCCAGGGACCAGGGCATGCAATCCTCGTCCGCCAAATGTGCAGCGCAAAGATCCTCCGCCATCTCCTGGCGCTGGACCATGATTTCACCAAACAATAACTGGTTGGTGGTTTTAACCATCTTGAAAAATATTAGTCAGTGGGAAGGATTATCCCATATATTGTGGAAAATAAAAATGTTTGAAACCAACAACCAGAATAACAAGGTGATTGTAATGCCCAAATGCTCCATGGTGACTTTAATGGTGACTTTAATGGAACTTTAATGGTACTTTGATGGTACTTTAATGGTGACTTTCATGGGATTTTAGAGGGGATATAACCCAAATGGTTGATGTAATGTATGGAATATTTACATATATTTACCAACATGTGCCTGAACAAAATCAGCTCCTTTCTGTTGCCCTCAGTAACAAATTGCCCCCCATATTCACTAAGATCTCATCTACTGATGTTTCAGATTGGCTATGGCTACCAACCAGTTATTAAGAGACATGATTCCCCAAATATGTGGAGTGAAACATCATATACAATATGGCGATTTCCTAAATTGGGGGTACCCCAACAGCTGAATGGTTTATAATAGAACATCTGATTAAAATGGATGATTTGGGGGTACCCCTATTTCAGGAAGTCACCATATGTACATAAAACTACTGGAAGATTTATGGAGGAAAAAACGCATTCACTGAGGCATTCACGCAAAGAAACAGACCTGTCTAGGAATCGCTAGATGATTGGTGGTTCATCCCACTTAGTAAATGGGTTATAACGACTAATCCTGCCTAATTAGCCCATTTAAAGTCGGGGTTTTATAACCTACTTACTAAGTGGGATGAACCATCAAGTAACCATATGCGGATGTATATATATATATATATTTGGATTACCACATGATCATTAACAATTTTTCTTGTGTACTTGACGATTCCCGAATTAGGATCCGTGGATTAGTTCACCCAAGTTATTCCCCCCTGGTCGGTTGAGCGATCTTCCTGGTTCTAATCGGTACAGAATCCATCCACGAAAAACGGGTAGGTTTAAAAACACCTAAGTGGATTAAGTGAACATCATTGACGTTTTTTAATCCTCACTGGTATTGAAAAATGTACATCTTCATAGTTGTTGTCGTCCCAAAAAAAGGCATTCCCGATCAATCAGCAGGGATCCACGGCTCATTTTTAGCACCGACCATCATCTGTCCAATTACATGTCCATGTCTATTATAGTTTGTTAAACCTCCACTGTTGATGCCGAACCTTCCATCTACCCCTGGTAATTTGTTACATAGCCATGGAAAATGGCCCATAGAAATAGTGGATGATTAACCCATTAAAATTGGCCACAGTCACCTTGATTAACCAACATTCGGCATAAAATGTCGCCTTGTAGCTGTCACACATGCAATTTCTTTACCCAATGGCCAATTGATGTATTTCCACTCATGCTACTAAAAAATGGTGATTTTCCATAGCAAACTGTTAGCCATTGGCCATTCACTAGCTGATAACTGAAAAATCCAATTAAGTCCAACTAAATTCCTTAAATCCCATTAAATCACAATTTTCCATCGTTTTTTTAATGTTTACTCCATTTAAAATGGTGATTGTCCATATTTTTTTTCTACTTTTACCCTCCAGCAAATCAACATAGACCCTGCCAAATAGGGATTGGAAGACTAGTTTCCACTATAAATTGCCCATTTTCAGGGTCCAAGTGTTAATTTACCAGAGGGTACCAGATGGTAAACACCAACAAGCCACAGATCGACCGTCCTCCCAGTCATCCAGCAATTCTGGAGATGAAGCGCTACTGTTGCGCCGATGAAACTCCTGGACTTCACCGTAAGTTGGACACGACACATTTTTAGATAAAGATCTGGGAGAAATAGTGGCTTAATAGTGGGTGAATAATGGGTGAATAATGGGCTAATAGTGGGTGATAGTAATAGTTATAGTAGCTAATTATTAATAGTTGTTAATACCCGGCCTGGTAAACATACCAAAAATTATGGAAACATCCACCATTTTCAATTGGTAAATCCATGTAAATCCACTATCAATGGCCATTTTCAATAGCTATGTAACAAATTACAAGAGGGTATCAGCTATATCTTTCCCATGAGGTTCTCATGATATTCTTGCTATCTCCTTATTCTAATGGTTGGTGGTATACCTACCCCTCTGAAAAATATGAAAGTCAGTTGGGATGATGACATTCCCAACTGAATGGAAAAATAAAAAATGTTCCAAACCACCAATCAGCAATCCATATGCAACCCATGGTGCTGGTATATTTAGCTACATGTGGGTCATTTATGGGGTAAATGTTGGTAAATATACCAGCACCATGGAGCATATGGGTAATAGAATGAGAGAAGTGGAAACCAAACATGATATAAAATGTTCATTTAAAAATAAACATGTGGGACAATAGATAGAAATAGAAAGTACAAGACTCCGGGAGAAAATGAAACCAATGTGGGTAAAACAATGTCATAAACCACCCATGATTGGAAATGGTTTATACTAATCCGCCGACCCCGGCCTTCGCCAAGGCCGGGGCGGCGCCTGGGACCACCGCAGGTGTGGAACTTTTCTAACACGCCCAGCACGCAAAAGCTACCACAAGGCCACAGCAATGGCTCAAGGGCACCTTCCGGCCGCAGCAATGGCTTCTTATAGGCGTTCAAGGCTGCCGTTTGCCAGGCCTCAAACCCTCCAAAACCCTCCAAACGCTCCAAAAGTTCGCATAGCTCCGCAGGGACAAGGTACCCCAACAAGCCCAACACGCGCCATTCCCGCACGCAAAAGCCACCACAAGGCCACAGCAATGGCTCAAGGGCGCCTTCCGGCCGCAGCAATGGCTTCTTATAGGCGTTCAAGGCTGCCGTTTGCCAGGCCTCAAACCCTCCAAACGCTCCAAAACCCTCCAAACGCTCCAAAAGTTCGCATAGCTCCGCAGGGACAAGGTACCCCAACAAGCCTAACCAAACCCTCCAAAACCCTCCAAACGCAAGGGCACCTTCCGGCCGCAGCAATGGCTTCTTATAGGCATTCAAGGCTGCCGTTTGCCAGGCCTCAAACCCTCCAAAACCCGCCAAACGCTCCAAAAGTTCGCATAGCTCCGCAGGGACAAGGTACCCCAACAAGCCCAACACGCGCCACTCCCGCACGCAAAAGCCACCACAAGGCCACAGCAATGGCTCAAGGGCACCTTCCGGCCGCAGCAATGGCTTCTTATAGGCGTTCAAGGCTGCCGTTTGCCAGGCCTCAAACCCTCCAAAACCCTCCAAACGCTCCAAAAGTTCGCATAGTTCCGCAGGGACAAGGTACCCCAACAAGCCCAACACGCGCCACTCCCGCACGCAAAAGCCACCACAAGGCCACAGCAATGGCTCAAGGGCACCTTCCGGCCGCAGCAATGGCTTCTTATAGGCGTTCAAGGCTGCCGTTTGCCAGGCCTCAAACCCTCCAAAACCCTCCAAACGCTCCAAAAGTTCGCATAGTTCCGCAGGGACAAGGTACCCCAACAAGCCCAACACGCGCCACTTCCGCACGCAAAAGCCACCACAAGGCCACAGCAATGGCTCAAGGGCACCTTCCGGCCGCAGCAATGGCTTCTTATAGGCGTTCAAGGCTGCCGTTTGCCAGGCCTCAAACCCTCCAAAACCCTCCAAACGCTCCAAAAGTTCGCATAGCTCCGCAGGGACAAGGTACCCCAACAAGCCCAACACGCGCCACTCCCGCACGCAAAAGCCACCACAAGGCCACAGCAATGGCTCAAGGGCACCTTCCGGCCGCAGCAATGGCTTCTTATAGGCGTTCAAGGCTGCCGTTTGCCAGGCCTCAAACCCTCCAAAACCCCCAAACGCTCCAAAACCCTCCAAACGCTCCAAAAGTTCGCATAGCTCCGCAGGGACAAGGTACCCCAACAAGCCCAACACGCGCCACTCCCGCACGCAAAAGCCACCACAAGGCCAACAATGGCTCAAGGGCACCTTCCGGCCGCAGCAATGGCTTCTTATAGGCGTTCAAGGCTGCCGTTTGCCAGGCCTCAAACCCTCCAAAAAAACCTCCAAAACCCTCCAAACGCTCCAAAAGTTCGCATAGCTCCGCAGGGACAAGGTACCCCAACAAGCCCAACACGCGCCACTCCCGCACGCAAAAGCCACCACAAGGCCACAGCAATGGCTCAAGGGCACCTTCCGGCCGCAGCAATGGCTTCTTATATAGGCGTTCAAGGCTGCCGTTTGCCAGGCCTCAAACCCTCCAAAACCCTCCAAACGCTCCAAAAGTTCGCATAGCTCCGCAGGGACAAGGTACCCCAACAAGCCCAACACGCGCCACTCCCGCACGCACAAGCCACCACAAGGCCACAGCAATGGCTGAAGGGCACCCCCCGGCCGCAGCCATGGCTTCTTATAGGCGTTCAAGGCTGCCGTTTGCCAGGCCTCAAACCCTCCAAACGCTCCAAACGCTCCAAAACCCTCCAAACGCTCCAAAAGTTCGCATAGCTCCGCAGGGACAAAGTACCCCAACAAGCCCAACACGCGCCACTCCCGCACGCAAAAGCCACCACAAGGCCACAGCAATGGCTCAAGGGCACCTTCCGGCCGCAGCAATGGCTTCTTATAGGCGTTCAAGGCTGCCGTTTGCCAGGCCTCAACCCCCCCAAAACCCTCCAAACGCTCCAAAAGTTCGCATAGCTCCGCAGGGACAAGGTACCCCAACAAGCCCAACACGCGCCACTTCCGCACGCAAAAGCCACCACAAGGCCACAGCAATGGCTCAAGGGCACCTTCCGGCCGCAGCAATGGCTTCTTATAAGCGTTCAAGGCTGCCGTTTGCCAGGCCTCAAACCCTCCAAAACCCTCCAAAACCCTCCAAACGCTAAAAGTTCGCATAGCTCCGCAGGGACAAGGTACCCCAACAAGCCTAACCAAACCCTCCAAAACCCTCCAAACGCAAGGGCACCTTCCGGCCGCAGCAATGGCTTCTTATAGGCGTTCAAGGCTGCCGTTTGCCAGGCCTCAAACCCTCCAAAACCCTCCAAACGCTCCAAAAGTTCGCATAGTTCCGCAGGGACAAGGTACCCCAACAAGCCCAACACGCGCCACTCCCGCACGCAAAAGCCACCACAAGGCCACAGCAATGGCTCAAGGGCACCTTCCGGCCGCAGCAATGGCTTCTTATAGGCGTTCAAGGCTGCCGTTTGCCAGGCCTCAAACCCTCCAAAACCCTCCAAACGCTCCAAAACCCTCCAAAACCCCCCAAATGCTTCCCTGCAGCTCCCATGCCGTTTGCCAGCCCCGGCATTGTCCTTTTATGGTGGTTCAAGCCTGCCGTTTGCCCGCCCGCAAAACCCCCCAAATGCTTCCCTGCAGCTCCCATGCCGTTTGCCAGCCCCGGCATTGTCCTTTTATGGTGGTTCAAGCCTGCCGTTTGCCAGCCCGCAAAACCCCCCAAATGCTTCCCTGCAGCTCCCATGCCATTTGCCAGCCCCGGCATTGTCCTTTTATGGTGGTTCAAGCCTGCCGTTTGCCAGCCCGCAAAAGGCGATGATGAGGCGCCACAACTCGTGGCCCTGGCGCGGCAAGCTCAGCAGCTTCCGGAGATCAGTACCCTTGATTATCCCTGAGTTTCAAAATCAATGATACTCTACCACCAATCATACAATGATAGGAGGCCAAATATGCTTAAAAATATGAACTGAGGTCTGACTTCAAATTTGTAGCGTCATACTCATTGCATACACATTGCACCTTGTGATTGAATTGCGGCATGTTGGGGCATATCAAAACATATATGTCCATGTCTGTCCCACCATGTACCACCATCGACCTCAGCACGGCCCGCCGGAAGCGACGCGCCACTGACCCACTGAACCGCTGATGCCGTCGGATGCCGTCGGAGTATCTATCTCTCCCTCTCTATCTATCTATCTCTCCCTCTCTATCTTCCTCTCCCCCTCTATCTATCTCTCCCTCTCTATCTATCTATCCATCTATCTATCCATCCAGCTATCTATCCATCTATCTCTCCATCTACTTATCTGTCTATCCAACTGTCTATCTATCTATCTGTCTATCTCTCTCTCTCTCTCTCTATCTCTCTACCTATCTATCCATCCATCCATCCATCCATCCATATCTATCTCTCTCCCTCTCTCTGCAGGACCCCCCAAATAGGGGGGGTCGGCGGCACCCGGGCGCTAGCCCATTCTATTATTTATGGTGATTTTTTGATGTCGTTTCTAGACAATGGGGGGTTAATTAATCAAGCAACATAAAACATACAATGTGAGGCCCCCAAGATAGCTAACTTGCTTTATAACTCCAATAACTATGGTACTTATAACTATAGTTACTGGGGCTTATAAACCAACAAACATAACTGGGGGGCCCCACATTGTATCAATATTACATGATTGTTTACTCGGAAGGTTTTGGGCGATGCTACAAAATGACAAACATATGTGGATTCAAGCCACCGGAAACAAAAAAAACACATTCACACGAAATGGGATGTTCCATTGACAAAAATGGAGGTTTAAAATGGCAGTACCATCAAATAATCCATTTTAGTAGGACTTTTCCATTAGAAAACCGTCCAGCTGTTGGGGTACCTCCATTTTAGGACACCTCCAAATGTAGTTGCAAAAAGGATGTTTTCTTCACAGAGACTTGTTTTTATTTCAACTGATAACTACGCTCAGCTGACAAAAACAACAAAAACAACAGCGCGGAGATTGAACAACGAGCATTGGTAAAAGGGAACATATGGGGGGCCCGTAAATGGGGAAACCTCAAGTCTAGGTTTCAATACTAAAATTAACCAATTTGGATGATACCATGGGGTACCTCCAATTTAGGACACCTCCATATATAGGACACTACGTTCCTAAAAAAGTAAACCTCGTTTTTTCAGTAATGGACCCTTGATTCCTTGATACACCACTCGGATTCACATATTTCCCACCCATTGAAGTCAACAGAACTCCGCGATTGCATCTTGGCATTCAGAAAATGTGTCAGGACATGGCCCAAGAAATTACCCTCTGCTAAACTAACATAGCGAACTGGAAAATCACTATTTGAATAGGTAAATCACCTATAAATTATAAATGGTCCATTTTCAATAGTTTTTTGTATGTTTACCAACCCGGGTATAACAAATTGAGGTTTCCTAAAATGGTGTTATCCCAAATCATCCAAGTCATGAATGACCATAGTATTGAAACCCATCCATTGTGACTTTGGGATCCCATTTTTTAGACACCACCCAAAAAAATTGCTGGTTGGTGGTTTCAACCTAAAAAATATGAGTTCGTCAGATTGGATCATCATCCAGTTCCAAAATAGGGGAAAATAATCCATTCATGTTCCAAACCAGCAACCAGAATCACCATTAATCACCATTAACCACCATTAATCACCATTGGGATCCCATGGCTTTTCCTAGGGTTTCTCCATGAAATAAACCATCCATCTTGGGATCTCCCCCAGGGTCTCGTCTCCAGGTCAGGGGAGTCGGGATGGGATGACGATGTATAGCGTTCAGGTGATGGGTGAACTCATCACTCCAATAATAGCTATGGTTTATAGTTGATATCTATCTATCTATCTACCTACCTATCTATCTATCTACCTATCTATCTATCTATCTACCTATCTATCTATCTACCTATCTATCTATCTACCTATCTATCTATCTACCTACCTATCTATCTATCTACCTATCTATCTATCTATCTATCTACCTACCTATCTATCTATCTATCTACCTACCTACCTAGCTAGCTAGCTATCTATCTACCTATCTATCTATCTATCTATCCATCCATCTATCTATCTATCTATCTATCTATCTATCTATCTATCTATCTATCTATCTATCTATCCGTCTATCTGTATATATATATTACTAAATTGGTTAATAACTCCAATTTCACTGTGGTTTATTCAGTGGTCATTTCAGGAACCGATTGATTGGAGGTACCTACCATATATAAGGCCTATTTTTCAGGCCTATGTAAGAGGATATCCCCACAAGATATGGCCTTATATGGTACAGTACCTCCATTTTAGGATCCTGAAATTCCCGTTGATTTATGGTACGCAAATAACGAACTAGTTACTGGGGCGAACCTAAACCAACAAACATAACGTGGCCGGGGCCCCAAATTGTACAGGATGGTGCCCCCCAGTTATGTTTGTTGGTTAAGATTCATGCCATGAAAGCCAGTTCGTTATATCTACCCTAGTCAAGCCACTTATAAGACAACTGAACGCGAGCTCGACTGGGGGCCCCATCCTGCATGGAAGCCATGGCCCATTGAGTTTCAGGATTTATGATGATTTCCCCATAGAAAAATTGATGAGCTTCCAACCTCCTTAGTTCATGGATAGGTGATGTTCACTACGAATCCGTTGCCTGCTTGCAACGACCAGTGAATGCTTAAGAATCTCCTCCTTCCACCACAAAACAAGAGATTCCCTGACATTTATTGAAGAAACATATCTGATGTACAAAATGGACCACCCCAGGTATGAATTGGAGAAAAAAATACAATTCGCTATAGGGTACAGTTATATCCAACAAAAAACCTAGATATATAACAAAAATATACAAAAATCAGAACAAACTTAGCAATCTGTGGGGCACCACTTTGTATATAGTGGAGGAATTTATCAAATATGCCTCATGGCAATGGAACATGCCTCATTTATGGGTGGTTTTGCCGACTTGCACACCTCCATTTGGATGTAGGAATTTCACAACCACGTAAAAATTCATGAGATATATACAATGTGGACACCCCAGTTATAAAATTGGTTTATAAACCCTTTCATGATAGGTATGTCTACCAATGTCTACCATGGTTACCCCCCAAGTTACAAACAAACTTTTGAGCTGACGAAGTTCGTCTGACGAAGTGGGGCCCACACTACATCAACCTCCAGAAAAATAGAGTAAACTCCGACTGAACAATGCAAAGTTATTTCTCTTTTTGGGGCGGGCGGACTAGTATACTTCTGGACACAGCAGCGATTGCCCAGTACCAGTTATAAGTCAGTAAATCATTCCATTTATGGGATGATAACCACATGTATTAAGCATAGAAGTAATTTGTTTTAGGGTCTAGAGTCTGAATGACAAGGATTTGGGTAAATTACTGTATTTCACTAAAATCTGAAATGCATCCCTTACAATTATATTATTATATTTCACTATATTACTATATTTTGGGATAACTATCCCTTACAATTCCCATCATCAACGTCGTGAGGTCGTGATGAATTCTTTGCCCTTTCGCTCCTCCAACAGGATTGATGCATTCGGCACCTGCAAACTGAATGAAATATAGATGTGGGACTTTTTATTAAACAGGCCTATTTTTCAGGCCTATGTAAGGGAATATCCCCATGAAATATGGCCTGAAAAATGGTACTAACGTACCTCCATTTTTGGATCCTGAGTCATTCCCATTGATTAAACAATGAAAACATCATTTTTGAGTGGGTAAATCAACAGACTTCCGATGGCCATTTTCAATAGCTAGATGGATTTTTTTTTCATGGCGGTGAATCCACTATAGTTGGGGATATATTTGGGTTTCCTAAAATGGGGCTACCCCAAAATGGATGGTTGATAATGGAAAATCTTATTAAAGTGGTAATGTGGGGGATACCTCCATGTTTGGAAACCTGCATCTTTTTTGGGAAACCCAATCATAGACTCACTATTGGGAGATGGTTTATGCCATCCATAAATTGTCATTTTGGGAATTTTTGACTAGTGAAATTTACCACATCGGTGAGATAATGAAATCGAATGGATAATGACTTATACAATGTGAGGCCCCCGGCCACGCTAGCTAAATTGAGGTTCACATAACTCCAATTTCACTATGGTCTATGTCTATGTATGTTTAGTTGGTTTATAATTCCACAGTCACTATGGTTTATGGTACTTGTAACGACCTAGTTACTGGGGCGAATCTAAACCAACAAACATATTGTGGCCGGGGGCCCCACATTATATAGTGAGATCCAAGTTCAGGATCTTAGCATTGAGTCGGAAAGAAAATCACATGTAATGAGGATATGATGGGACAAACTAGCCGCTTATTGATATTACAGTGTGGTTGGTAAATAACCTAAAACATGGGCGGATGTTTTTCGTGGATTTTGTCCAAGTTTTTTGATTCCATGGGAATTCGTTACTTGCAAAAATAACGATTGCAATGGTTGAATGGGAACGTGGGATCTGACCAAAAATAAGGGAAAGTAGTGCGGAAAAAAACATGGTACACAACGGGACTGCACAACAATGGGGTATAAGTATACCGATTCATAAATTGCAATCTAAAAAGGTAATATCCAGATTGACCAAACAGTAACTTTCAGGTGCCTTAATTTCAGACAAACTTATATGGTAAACACATGGGTCTTCAACAACAACTTGAAGTGAAGGATTTGAGCAACAAAAATGGAGGCATGCATAAAACCAAAAGATGTTCAGCCTTGAATCATGTAAATTAAATGTTGGGATATGAACCACGCAAGAAAGGCCCCTGTAAGTTGGCAAGTTGGTATGTAAAGCGGCCAGTTAGGTTTTATGATGCGTACAATGACTTGGTGGTAGGCAGAATAGGACTGGGGGACCATTCAGGCAAACCCTCAAAAATAGTTTGTGAAACACCTTTGGGTTTGTGTTTCTGAATGCTCAGCTTCAAGCAATGCGCTAGTTTCAACGTTCGGAACTTCAGTCCTGAGCCATTGGGAACATAGGCGGCACAAAATGCGTTGGCGGGCTTAACAGCTTGTTTTCCATTTTAACATGTCCAAACTTTTATTTGAATTTTACAGCATGGGGAACAGGAAACGCATAAACTAAAAAACAAATGGGGCTCAATTGGCGCCCGTCCCAGAATCGCGCCAGGTCACACCATCGAGCCAAGAATGTGGCCTTGGCGCGTTGGCAAATCCAGACTGGACTAAACCAAATTTGAGAACTGACCTCTGCCAATGACTTGTATAAGCCTTCTGTCATCGCAAAGGGCCATGCCTCCGACCACCGCCCAAAACTGAGCAGCTGCATTGCGGGTTCGGACCATGCCACTTCACGCCACAATGGAAACAGCCGTGCGCGGCTAGTTGCCCCCTTGCGAGCAGCAGGGTGCCTTGCTGCGCGAGATGTGAAGGGTGTGGGAAACAATCGAACCAAGTTCCTGCTACACAAGCCTTTCAAGAGAAGTTTGCTGCAAATGTACCGGCTGACGAGCAGTTGAATACAGTGGAGACGTGGCACGACGCATGTGCGCATCGTTTCTTGCTTGATAAACACAGTCTCCTTTCTATGTTGGCATGGAAAAAAGGCAGTTTAATGCTAAGACAGAACGGGCATTTGGATTTGCCAAAAGAAGGTTTGAGAAATTTAACGGTTTATTAACACCATTTCTGGAGACTACCACTTGGGGAAGGTAGAAGTTTGAGGTATAATCGGAGTTTTAACCATAGTTACAAGGGCCCGGCCCATATTCCAAACTCATGGAGGTGAAGCCCACCATGGTTATGACATGTTATAACAATAAATGAGAATAAACAATTACCCCCAAGTGCACCAAGTACACGTTCCATACGTTCCATATGTACGAAGCCCAAGGGATTATCTTCATGGCCAATCCGTGGCCGAGAAGCCATTCATCCAACTGGGTATTCCATTAATATCCATTCATCATACTTAAGATGCCTAGTGGCCTAGTAGATATGGAATATCCATGAATATCCCCACTTAGATTCACGATGCTTCTTACAGACAGAAACTGGTGTCCCACGCAAGTGGTACAGCTGGCACATGGTTGACCAATCTGGGAAAGGTCACCCAGCGAGCGACTTATTGCTAACTAGTTGCAGTACATGCTTTAAATTCTTAAATTCCATTGAAGGGAAAATGTCTGAACCGGAAATCATGGTTTTGTTTACCCTCAAATATAAAAGTTTCTGAAAAAAACACGTTTTTCAATTCCAGGGTTTTACTTTGTTGGCCGGATCTGCATAGTATCTGATTGTGTAGGGCTTGAATTCGCCAGCTATACCTCTAAAAAAGTGCCATGGTCGAATTACATGTGGGATAAAGGTAGTATGTCAACCGTCTCATAGTCGGAAGCCCGGATGAATTCCTATATAAACCTTATATGAAAATGGCGTGTCAGCATCCCCCAATGGCGAAGCATCGAATCGACTCCAACCATGGCACAGGTACCACCTGATCTTCGGGAATTAAATTTTGGTTTTAAATCTTTAGTGTATGTGCGCGGTGAATCAAGCATCCAGAACTGAATGGGAATTAAATCTGGGCTTTATTCCTGCTGTATTTGGTGTGCAAATTACTGAAGCAGCAACTATTCATATGGCCCATATGATGCTATTTGTTTCATAGAAAATTGTCATTGAATCAATGCAAACAAACTCGTGGATTTTGAAGTTAACGTGGATACAACTTCAGCTGCAAGGTGTAAATCTAGCTTTTCTTCTGGGAGATTTGGATCAATATCCCAAGAGTTTCCGGCTTCTCAAAGAATTACCCTCTGGCTATTTACAGTAACATAGCCATGGAAAATGGCCCATTTATAGATGACTTTCCCAGCGAACTAAACCTCCATTTATTTTGGGGATTTTCCATGGCTATGTTAGTCATAACCAGATGGTAAATTTTGATTTAATTCCTCTCCAGACCCTGGTGCCTTCCAAGGGCTTTTCAAAGACCCGCTAAGAAGCGTCTACGGCGTCAAAATGTTTCTCTATTCTGAAAGTCTGAAAGTGATGACGTTTGCCCGAGTTAACAGGCGGACCTTCAAAAGAAACATCAATCGACCAAAAATGGTTCAGCATGCACCGCAAGCCCCCAGACCCCCTGTATCAATGTTGCTATCCAGTGCTTCCCAATGATCGGAGCAAGAATGGCTGCTTATTTTGAAGGCTCCACCAAGCACTGCTTTCACACATTGAACTTGGGGGGCCTGAGCTAATTACCTCCAGTTCAAACCGCAGTCCTGTCACTTTCATGATCTCTGATGCATAGAATAAAAACTAGGTTCAATAGATGGAAAAAGATGGAAAAAGGGTCTATATGACCATGTATGATACCAAGAATTAAACCAGAAAATCATTCTTTGTAACTCTTGTTTTAACTCGTTTTCATGAAACATATCATGGTTTTTCAAACTTTCAAAGCCGAGTTCTCAACGCCCGTTTTTGGATGCCTGGGTGTCCTGGGTTATTCAACGCAACAGCTCCAGTGTTGCGACATCAGGGCCTCTAAAAACTTTATCCGTACTTGGTGGTTCATCCTACTTAGTAAGTGGGTTATAACCGTAGTTATAAGTGGACTAAGACTAAGCCTACTTATCCCATTTATCACCAGGGTTATAACCTACTTACTAAGTGGGATGGACCACCAAGTATCCCTAGTAAAAAATCGTCATGTTGCAGAATAAATGTTTGAAGGAATAATGTTTTGTAATCATGCCCATTGATAATCAAGGGGCCTATTTCAAGTCAAACCCATTTTGATATCATCATTGCAAAGACGTATGTTGCAAGGTAATCCCTTTTGACATGCATTTGATGGAATCTTCTTGAGATCAAAATGGCTTTGACTTGAAATAGGCTACTCCCGAATCCATGGAAATGTGAATCCTCATGTTCGACATGAAATGGCCATAATTGCGGGAATGATTCGCGAATTCTGGATGGTGCATATGGCTTCCCAGTCCACTGGTGATAGTAATTCTTGAGGGAACATTGTCTTACTGGTGCGTTTTACGTAGGGTTGCTGGATGGGTTGCTGGGGGTTGCTGGGGTTATTCTTACATATTCTTACTATACAGCGATGAAATGGATCATGCCCGAAAATTCCCTACGTTTAGAAACGCACAACAAGTAAGTTAACCGGAGGTCAACTAACGGAAACACCCCAGCGAGGTGAATCTCGATCACGACACTTCACCACGTTTTCAAGGGCGGATCTTGACCATGGTACATTTAGGGCTATCAATTTGACACAGCATTGATACCAGGAGGTTTTATGATGGTTAAATGGTGGTTGAATGGTATGGGGGTACAATAGGATAATATAATCTATCATATGCTTGGGAACAAGGGTTGGTTCTCGTTACCCACTCGTAAACTAACATAACTATGGAAAATCACCATTTTTTAATGGGAAAACTCACTATAAATGGCCATGTTCAATAGCTATGTAACAAATTACCAGAGGGTACCCACCATCACTTTATGGTCAGCCATTCACCTCCCACCACCCACGCCACGTACGCATGGGGTAAAAATCAACCTATTGGACTGGTATGATACCTGCAACTTGCTTGGTATATGGAGGTTTCCTAAAAAGGGGACTCCCTAAATATACATTTTTTTAGGTGTCACCCTTGAGGAATTACTGCAGTTGAAGTTATAGCAAAAGATCAAAATGATCTGCCCATGCAGGGTTTCTCCAGCTTACCCTCTGTTAAATTACCATAGCTATGGAAAATCACCATTTCTAAAAAGCTAAATCAACTATTTCTGTGGACATTTCCATTAGCTTCGTAACAAATTACCAGAGGGTAAATCACCATCAAATCACAATTTTGTTGGTTAAAGCCCATTAAACCACCATTAAGCCACCATTTTCCTATGGTTTTCCACCATCAAATCACCAGTAAAAAAACTAACACAGATGTGGGGTTTTAACCCCACGGATGTAGATCCTTCCCCACGACTTTCCCCGGTCTGATATGGAGGTTTTCTAAAAAAAAAAGGCTACCCCCTTGATACCATTGCATTGGCGAACCATTGGTTTTCCCACTGATCATACGTGATTTTCCCATTGATAAAATGGGGTACCAAAAAACAGAAACCTCGATGATTTTGGGGCTTCTGAGGTGATTCTTCTTTGTTTAGTATTGGATGGACGGGAAGACCTCCACGAGATCAATTGTATCCCTGTCAAGTCATTGTATCCGCACACCCCAAACTACAATGTTGGTTGATGACTCCAATAACTATGGTTTCTGGTACTTATAACTATAGTCACTGGATTTCAGAGGAATAAGTAGGGATAAGTACAATGAGAGGCCCCCGACCACGATAGCGTTCAGTTGGGGTGAACTAATCACTCTAATTTCACTATGGCAAACATGGGACGCAAATAACGACCTAGTTACTGGGGCGAATCTAAACCAACAAACATAACATCTTATAACTGGGGGGGCCACATTGTATTAATCAACATTCCAACATATTCCAGCAAATAACATCAAGTCTACTGGTTGGTTAAGTGTGTTCTTGGGATTTCCCACTATGGATGATGATAATCCTAGCTCTCTTATCGGATAGTATAACTTCCGAACCAGCAAGCAACAGGTCTTCCACCCATCATTATAGTAGATGGGTCAATATTAGTCATTATGAACCACTGTGATCGTTATGAACCAAAAGGTAACCATGATTCCGGGGTTTAAATTTGGATTTGATTAAGGAACCTCAGAAAAAGTAAACTCAGCAAATGCAGGATTCGAATCCTATACACCAAGTTGATTGAGATAATCCATAGGATCCATGTATGGTATATATGCTAACATTTGGGGTATATTGATGGTAAATGTTACCATATACAGCATACATGGATCCTATGGGTAATGGTATAATTATGGGATAACTATGGGATGATAATCATGCCACGGATGATCAATAGATAATGGAATGACACATAGATAATGATTATTATATCATCTATAGATTATCATCCCATTTACCCTGGCAAATCAAGCTTTACGGCTATGGCTATGGATCAAGACCTATAGATACAATTTGCTACGGGATGAACATCCAGCTATACCAGCTATTTGGATGTTCACCAGAGGTGCAAGGTAACTTGACCCATCCCCATATAACTGACTCATCAAGACATTCTGATGCAGCCCAGTAGCTCCAACCAAATCTCGTCGGCTTCTCCAAGCTCCTGGACGATGTGATGTGGCAAAAATGTCTGAAAAACCTGTCTGACATGTTCCAGTAAAAAACCGTGAAAATGGGGTCAGTTAATTGAGACAGATATGGAAAATCCATAGTTGTACTTACTAAGGAACACATACTATAATTACTAAACATGTACTGTAACTGCCTCAAGAACGAGTGAGGAAGACCAAATAGCAACCAACATAGTTATGGGGTCGGGCCAAGGCCATAGCCACAGTTCACATCCAGCGGTTCACATTGATCAACCCATTTGAACTTTGTATGCTAAGCCCTTTGAACTGATCAAGGCTAACCGAAGTCTGCGCGAAGCCTACGCGGGCCGCAGAAGTAGCCTACGCTGGGGGGTAGTTCGCAAAGAGTGCCTACGCAAAGGCAACGCGAAGCCTACGCGAAGGCTACGCTGACTGCAAAGGTAGCCTACGCGGAGGACCCTGCTCTTAAGACAAAAAATGCGGCTCATTTGGACTTTTGATCACCAACATTCCCCAGCCAACTGCGAGGCATATCGCCAGTGGACATCATCAGCGTCGAGGAAACAGATGAGTTATAACAATGATCATCTTCCGATGCCAAAGTAAACTACTGCTTAGTCAATGGCCATTTCAGGATCCGATTGATTGGAGGTACCGATTCCATATATAAGGCCAATTTTTCAGGCCTATGTAAGGGAATATCCGCAGAAAATATGGCCCAAAATATGGTACAGTACCTCCATTTTAGGATCTTGAGTCATTCCCATTAAATTTGTCATCAGCCGGCGACCGGGTCAACTTTTTTAGGTGGTGCCCCAGCGTTAGCTAAGTTGGGGTTCACTGGTTCACATAACTCCAATGTCTCTTGGGTTTACCGTACATATATCAAACTAGTAGACTAGTTAATAACTATTGGGTTTATGGTAAATATATCTATATCTATATCTCTATATATAGTTACTATATGTTACTATCTTTTACATACCATCTTATAACCGTGGGGGCACCACCTTGAATGTCTTCACCAAATGTTCTCTTTTGTGAATCTTTCCATCTGCACGCTGTGAAGCTATCTCCTTTCATTGCAAGTCTTAGAAACCATGCAACAACAAAACAACCTGTTCTTAACAAGTAACTGGTTTTTCCCCACCTGCCAGGTGAGGGTTGTTAGATTTTATGTCAGTTGCCTCCTCGTCCTCCTTCTCCTCCTCCTTCTCCTCCTTCTCCTCCTCCTTCTCCTCCTCCTCCTCCTGCCGCCTCCTCCTGCCTCGTCCTCCTCTCCTCCTCCTCCTCTCGTTGTCCTCCTCGTCCTCCTGCTCAACTGCGACTTGCGATCCACAGTGTTCGCTGTCGGACCTCAACCACGACCATCCACGCCCAGTGTTCCCTGCCGGACCTCAACCACGACCATCCACGCCCAGTGTTCCCTGCCGGACCCCAACCACGACCATCCACGCCCAGTGTTCCCTGCCGGACCTCAACCACGACCATACACGCCCAGTGTTCCCTGCCGGACCTCAACCACGACCATCCGCGCCCAGTGTTCCCTGCCGGACCTCATGTAGGAATGTCAGATAGACTGCCAGATAGAATGCCAGATAGAATGTCAGATAGGATGCCAGATAGAATGCCAGATAGAATGCCAGAAAGAATGCCAGAAAGAATGCCAGATAGAATGCCAGATAGAATGCCAGATAGAATGCCAGATAGAATGTCAGAAAGAATGCCAGATAGAATGCCAGAAAGAATGCCAGATAGAATGCCAGATAGAATGACAGATAGAATGCCAGATAGAATGACAAATAGAATGCCAGATAGAATGCCAGATAGAATGCCAGATAGAATGTCAGAACATATGTCAGATAGAATGCCAGATAGAATGTCAGATAGAATGCCAGATAGAATGCCAGATAGAATGCCAGATAGAATGCCAGATAGAATGCCAGGTGGAATGTCAGGTGGAATGTCAGAATATATGTCAGATAGATTGCCAGATAGAATGCCAGAATATATGTCAGATAGAATGTCAGAATATATTCAAGATTTGTCCAAATATACGTCCTGACATGTCCTGACATGTCATGGTGGGGATCACACGAAGTAAAGTAATTTGTATGTATCATTATGTATCTATCCTAGTTCTAGAAAACCATTCATATTTCAATCGGTTTACACAGATATTCACCCGCTTCTGTTTTTTCATCTCAAAAACTCGGCCATTTGTGGATGACTCCCTTTGTTTCTACCATGAGAATCCCTATGATCTCTACAATGTGAGGCCCCCAAGATAGCTAAGTTGGGGTTCACATCACTCCAATTTCACTCTGGTTTATGGTATGCAAATAACGAACTAGTTACTGGGGCGAATCTAAACCAACAAACATAACTTGGGGGCCCCACATTGTAGCATTTCTTGGGGATGTCCCATCCTTTTTTTGTTGCTTCACATCACCTGGGAGCCTCGCCTGCGGAGCTGGGTCAGGCTGTTCGAGCTCCGGCGGAGCTGGGACGGGCCTTGGGATCCACCAAAAATTGGAGCTTTCTGGTGGCTGCCCTCTGGTAAACTAACAGTTCGCGAACTGGACAATCACCATCTTTGCGTAAATCAACTATACTGTAATCATATCCCATTGTCATATGATTGATAGATATTAATGTACACTCTGGTAAACGTGAACAAAAAACTATGGAAAATCACCATGTTTGATGGCTAAATCAACTATTTCTATGGCCATTTTCAATAGCTGTATAATAACCAGAGGGTAACTCCAATTTCACTGTAGTACATGGGGGCTAGCTATGGATATATGGTATATGTATATTTATATATATATATAGGGTATAGATTACATGTTGGGTAATGGACACAGTAACATTATCTGTGGATATATCTAATTAGCCTCAAGGCTTCTGGTGGTTTCTCCAACAATCATTGATGGGGTTCAACAACCAACTTTATGGCTGGCTGGCACCACCTTGTACTTGGTTGGTGTGGTTTCTCAAACAAAGTTAAATTATATATATACCCTCTGGTAAACTAACATAACTATGGAAAAACACCATTTTTAATGGGAAATTCCACTATAAATAGCAATTTTCAATAGCTGTGTTAAATTACCAGAGGGTATATCACTTGTGCTTAGTGGGCTTAAATACTTTGTTAGTGAACTCCTTAAAATAAAGGATTTCAGAGGAACTTCTGGGAACTTTAAAAAAATGATATCTCGTGGAAACCCATAGCCACAATGGGTCTTTCATTGCCTAAGCCATAGCTTTTGATAATTTGAAACAACCAAACAAGGTGGGGCTAAATGTGTTAGCTAAATTGATGAACATACCTCCAAGAACTGTTGGGTGTCCTCAAATAGGGATGCCCCCAAATCACCAATTTCAATAGGATTTTCCATGAAATAAACCATCCATGTTGGGGTAAACCCATTTATGGAAAACCCCATATCTATAGTTAATGATGGATATTAACCAGCTTAGAACGAGGGGAAGCACCACCTTGTAGGTTGTGTCCCTGGATTTCAGAGGAATAAGTAGGGATAAGTACAATGTGAAGACCCCAAGATAGCTAAGTTGGGGTTCACATCACTCCAATTTCACTCTGGTTTATGGTACTTATAACTATAGTTACTGGGGCGAATCTAAACCAACAAACATAACTGGGGGGGCCCACATTGTAGGATTAACCCACCCTTTATCCAGGTGGTTCACCAAGCTACTGGCGATTCCTGGGTAGTTCGCCACCATCCATGTTGTATCGAACAAAAATGCTGCATAAAACTGGAGTAAAGATACCACACAAAATGTGGCAAATCCAGAAAATCCCTCGGTTTCCCGTTCCGAGAATGATTTGTTCAAACCACTTAAATATATGATAATATATGCAAGTTGCAAAAGTAAGTGATACCATGTCCAGTATTATTACCCCGAAAAAGCAAAGAACATATTTTTCCACTAGTATCTACTATCTCACTTATTCTCCGGCATTGGGTTCTCCATTGGGCTTGCATTTTCACATTTTCGGATACTACTATCATATGTTCTCACTATTATTGGGACATGTGCCATATTTGGATTTTTGGGGTGCTGTCTAATTAGAAGACCATTTCAAATCCAATCATGGATGTTAAGATTATTTGCCCCACTTTTTCCAATCAAGTTACCCAAAATGTGCTGCCCCATACTTATCTAAGTTGGCAAGTACATTATAACTAGGGTTTATGGGGAATATGTATACACATTACGAACTAGTTATATAGATATATATATATATATAAATAGATGGATCATAAACCAATGAACATACCGCGGGGGTCCCCACCATCATACCCTCTGGTAATTTGTTACATAGCTATTGAACATGGCCATAGAAATAGGCGATTTTCCCACTAAATAATGATAAACATGAAGCTATGTAAATGTTTACCGGAGGGTAATTTATGAGGTCGATTCAATGACTTCGCCAAGTTCGATGACTTCTTTGATGGGGTATCCAATTTATGGGGTATCCCCAAGCTCGCTGGATGGTTTATTCATGGAAACTCCATCTATAAATGGATGAGAACTGGAGGTCCATTTCAAGAAACCTCCATATTGATGCCATACTCCACAATAAACCACATACTAGCGGTTGGATGACCAGTGCTTGTCTTACTGGTGCGTTTTGCGCAGGGAATTTGAGGGAATGATCCATTTCATCACTAGTAATTTCATCATCCCATTTGCCCAGCAACCCATCCAGCAACCCTACGTAAAACGCACCAGTAAGTTGTAATCCCATCCCCCATTAATATTCAACAGCCCCAAACGAAACTCTGGTGGATTAAGATGGACTTCATCATCTTAACCAGATTTAACCAGTAACAAAAATCCACTGAAATTCCTCCCTGAAACATCTGAACAAAATCCCATGAAAAACCACGACAAAAACCGACAAAAGCCTGAAAAAACACTACATAAACCACGACATAAACTAACACCATAAACTACTATGAACCACGACTATCAAAAATCGGAGTGATATGGGTACCCAATTCGCTATACCACTACATAACGAACCCCAAAAAAAACACTAAAAGGTTTCTGGTCCGTGGTATACCTACCCCTCTGAAAAATATGAGTCAGTTGGGATGATGAAATTCCCAACCGAATGGAAAGTCATAATCCATTCATGTTCCAAACCACCAACCAGATCAGCATCATATTCCTGTTGTTGGTTTATAGCCTATTCACCACTATTAACCATCACTATTAACCACTATTGCCATCATCATTCCATCATAAACAACACTAAAAGGTTTCATCTCAGCCCCCCCCAACGCCAAGCTTCTCTGCCGGCCCGTTCGGCTCCACGGCATGCAGCGGTTCCGGTTCCTGACAGCGCTGAGCCATCGGACATGGTTTCATGGTGGTTTTTTCATGGTGATTCAAACAAGGTGGGTCAACTGGTTGGTGAACTTTGTTGGTAGGATTTCCAATGGATGGTGTGCTATAAAGTTGTATAAATTAAATATACTACAATGTGAGGCCCCCGTTCGATAGCTTAGGTGAACATCAAACGAGGCAACAACCAAACAGCACTGTTTTACATACTCAATGTATGTCTATTCGTGTGTGGTTCAAGTTGGTGAATGATTATCAATGCGTCTAAATGTACCCTCTAAACTAACATAACTATTGAACATGGCCATTTATAGTTGATCTACCCATTCAAAATGGTGATGTTCAATAGTTATGTTAAATTACCAGAGGGTAAACCTCCTACCATGTCACTATGCCCAGCGAAATCTTGGGTCGTCCAACAACTCGCCCTGCGGATTCCTCATGTGTTGCTTTCCTGACCGTTTGTCTAGTGATCAACGGTGATCAACGTATCAGTCCATGTAGGCTATATCCCCAGTTCTTTACATAAGCAACGACTGTTGGACATTCCAACTATGTAATTGGATGTAATTGGATGTTGAGTGGGCATTTTTCCATGGGATTTTTAACCAATTGGAATGTTTAAATTAGACTTAGTCATGTAATAGTAAAATTACCAAAACTAGCATTTTTTATTGGTAACTGTTCTTCATGTTTAGTGGTAATTACCTGGTGAACATACCTCAGCTTTACCGAGTGAAATCTCTTTTTGTAGTGGACAGAGCTCCGTGTTTCAAACAGCTACCCTGCCCAACAAAGATCTAGCTGGTTAAAAACCAATACACTTATATGTATATATATATACATATACATTGATGTGTATGTAGATATATAGTATTTATGTATAAACCTAGACCCTCCAAGTACCCAACAAAGCTGGTAAATGTCCTAGATTCAAAGGATAGAATGCAAATTCTTCTGGGCACTTGGGGCGTTTAGGGATATATTCCCTTTATGGAACAGCACAACAACCTCTTCAACCAAGGTGTACGGATATCTGCGTAAATGAACATATGCCGCTAACCTGAAATAAGGCCATTTGGGGATGATTCCCCAAATCCTACAACGTGGGGCCGCATAGCTATAAGTTGGTTTATAACACCATCTAACTATAGTTATAATATGTTATAAAAAGTTATAAGTAGCAAAAACCAGAGTGAAATTGGAGTTATGTGAACCCCAACTTAGCTATCGTGGCCGGGGGCCTCACATTGTAGATCCATCACAAATCCATGGAAATTACTATTCTATTGATAGGATATTATGAGCGGGATATTAATGTACTACACTATTAATAGCTATCGAATGTTCCATCATTCCAGAGAAAAAAGAACATTAATGCTATTATTTGGATGAAATTATTATCCAGATACTATTAGTATTAACTATTAGTAATCTATTAGTAATATATTCCAGGAACTATTATTATTAGCCATCATTCCAAATGCTATTATGAGAGTTTTCACCGGCACCTTTTGGCTGCCGGCACCATCGGCAGCGCCAGCCGTCTCCTGGCAGGGGCAACGCCCTGGACCTTCACCAGCCCTAGAGGATCAACCTACGTTGAGGAGCCACGAAAAATTGGGAAAATCAGACAATGTGAGGCCCCCCAAGATAGCGTTCAGTTGCCTTATAAGTGGCTAATTCTATGGTTTATGGTAAATATAGCTATAGTTAATGGATGTTAATGGTGTTTATAAACAAACTCATAACTTGGGGGCCTCACATTGCAACAATTTTCTATCTTAATGGGATCTTTCATCGGATGTAGATGAATATAATTGAAACCAGCAACCATAATTAGCTAACTTAGTTACAAGTGGACTAACTGGGATTTGTGGTAGATACACCTACCGCTATACTTAATGGGGTTCACTTTAAATAGTGGGATGTAAATGGGATATTTCAAATGATACAGACTATAAAATGACTATAGATACTATAGATGGATATTCCACAATTGCCCTTTCATTGCCTCCATGTGCCCAACCCACCTCTGACCCACGAAACCTGCAGCTCTCCCTGTGCTTCGGTTGTTTCCGCTGCAGGGTCAGCATTTTGGGTAGTGCTGGGTGGGAACGGCCTTGGCTGCTGAAGAAGTCTGAACTTTGTCTCGGGGATTTGGGGGGTTCTTAAAAGAAAACCATGGCTTTGCTTGAAAATATTGTGGATGAAATCCTGCACCAGTTTGTCTGGTTGGTGGTTTCAACCTACCCCTCTGAAAAATGATGGACTTCGTCAGTTGGGATGATTATTATTCTCAATATGAATGGAACAAATAATCCACATGTTCCAGTCACCACCAACCAGTTTGCAATTGTTATTCCAATTATTAACCATAGATTAACCATATATAACTCTGAAACATGGAGACTTTTTCATGGGATAAACTCATGGGATGGTCATGGGATAAACTTTTAAACCATCGCTTTCAATACGATCATCGTGCGCTCCAAAGACTTGGGTGAGAGATTTTGGAGGTACCACCATGGCTGGGGAAACCGGAAACCTGGCTGGGTCTGACTGAATTTTGGGCTGTTCCGTCAAAATCGTTAGCATGGCTTTTAAAAAGGGGGTTATAGTCATAGACAATTTCTTCCCCGAAATGTCATTGAATCGTAACCTGCTAGATTCCGATTCATTGCTTCATATTAAAGGTATATCGCGGTTTAGGTGTCAGCCCATTTGGGGGTACTGGAAAAGAAGGATGGAGGGGATAGCTGCCGGCGCGCGAAAATCCATAAGCACCATCAGGGTACTACGTATTGACACATAGCCACACACATTATTTTTCTGTTGCTACCTACAATGTGAGGCCCCCGTTCGATAGCTAAGTTGGGGTTAACATAACTCCAATTTCACTATGGTGTATGGTACGCAAATAACGAACTAGTTACTGGGGCGAATCTAAACCAACAAACATAACTGGGGCGGCCCACATTGTAGAAAATTAATGGAAGATTCAGAGGTTGTGCCTTCGGATTCCCAAAGATGTTTCTATGCAGGTTCCTGAGCAACACCTTAACTTCCCAAGCAGCATATCTATATATATTCTCAGTATTTCTCAGTAGAATCCCTCATTAGTGGGTTAAACATGCTAAACATGATCAGTGACAACCTACTTGGAAAATACCGAGCAACAGTTTGTCAACCCCCCATGACTCCTGACCGTCACGTTCGTCGTGCTGTCGATCCTGTCTGGATGATCCTATCAAATCATCAACCACAAAAGCTTCGGAGAGCTCAATGGTACTTAGATGCGCATCCAATAAACGGTTAACAAATGTTAACAACCTTTGTAAACTACTGCGTGTTCTCCATTTCGAACTTGGTAACATTGTACTTATGAACCATGCACTATATCATCAAGACCTCTTGTTCCTTCTGCTGGTGATCATCAAGATGAGCATGGCCTTCCTTTCCTTTCCGCTCCTCAATTTTAGGTACGCATCTTATGTAAACTCAACATGGAACCTGAAAAATGGAGTCTTTAAGATGGTCGTGCTACTTTTATATGGCCCTTGTGGGGTTTCGTGCAAATGGGAAGAATATCATGCGTTAACCACTTGCTCCCATGTCCCTAGTATGGTCTCCACAGACCCGCTGATAGAATATCGAAGTGCCCATTCACGCTTGACCCAGACATGGGGCAGCATGCTTTACAAAGATGCTGCCGTGCAACCACAGCGACAGGATGCCAGTTGAAAGTCAGGCCCGGCCCGTCTTGGCCACGTACCAGATGATAGCAGGATGATAGCTTCGCCGCAATTCAAGGGGATTGCCGTGAAAGGCAAGAATTCTGATTCGCTCCGCATCCTTGCGAGGCTGACGCGTTCAATTCTGCATCGATAAGGTGGCCCGCGTTCCGCACAGGCAGGGTCCTGCCCAACTCGTCCTTTGATGCCTGAGCAACCCCAGGCGCAGATCTCAAATACAGGTGTGCGCTAAACCAGCTGTTTGCGATGTTGATTATTTTGAACTCACACTGCTGCGATGTTTAAATGTCAAACCCATGCACTATATGTTCAAAACATTATATATGGGCTATCTTCATTATCCATCCCTTTTCATAGGAATCCACGCATGATTTTCTCGGAAAGGTATTGATGACCATCCCTCAATACGGGCAATTTACCCAAGTTTTGTATGGCAAATATTGGTCTAACAAGGATTCCCACAATGGATGATACCAATCCCCAATGCAAATTGCATCGCACTCCCCCTTAAATACAATACAATCATCAACCAAACGGGGTTTTGAACATTGCTCAAATGGGCTAATATATGCATGGATATGGTTTTGATGGTAGGATTGATCCCTTATAATTCGGATATCAAAACCATAAAAAACAAACAAAAACATATAGAGACTAAAATCCACCATCATCCCCTTTAATTGGGGCACAAGTGGGTGAGAACTGGGAACTGAGATATAACCATCATTGATCATTTCTGTCCACTTATGTTTATTTTTTCCGCATATATTGACGGTTTAAATCCCAAACAGAAATATATAAATATAAATAACTGGTTTTATTGACCATGGAATTATAAGTTCTAATGTGGTAAACCTAATTGTGTGTATTTCCGAAAATTACCATAAATGGGTTGTAAAGACCATCCCCAAAGAGTATGTTTTTTTTTTTTAATTGGGTTTACCACATTGTTGCAAATTGAATGGCTATTAAACATTAGGACTAAACATAAAGAATTATACCTACAATACATATAGCCTCTGGTCACGACTAACATAGCTATGGCTATGAGAGCAGCCACTGTCATTGGCAACTGCCCAGCGACAGCTCAACTTCCGCCGTGGCAGTCAGATGTTCTTCGTCCGCCGGTGCAGCCGCAGTAGCATTGGGACGCGGTCTGGGGGGCGGAATGGGATAGTAATAAATCCTGGTTGATTGAATGGCTCCAAAAAACACAATCCCAGTTTTTAGTGATGATTCAACCAAAAAAATAAGTGTACTAATATTTACATCTATTATGAATACTAATGATACTAATGTTTATTAAGCTGGTTTGCGCTCCATTAATCAAACATAGCAAGGGGAATATCACTACAAAGAGACGTTTATAGCTGGGACAACCATTGAGCAAAATGGGGAATTTTCCAGCACGCCATGCTTGAAAACTGGAGGGTAGCAATAATTCATGGGAATATCCTGGGACAATCATGGGATATAAGAACAAATACCTGGATATACTGCGGGCAATAGTGTGGATTTATCATACTGTGGTAAATCCAAACACAAGCCTATCATTTGGGGATTGTTATTACATTTATCGTCATATTGGTAACGGTTTATAATGAGTTTGCCACATTAAATATCATTTTTTGGAAATCTAATAGGGATTTTCAGTGTGTATATGTATATATATATACCTAGATGAGGTCCTAAACTTGTGACAACTTGTGACTAGGTGGTTTGCCTATCAGGGGATATGTTAAAACTATATGAACATTTTGTAGGGATGAACTATCAATCCCATCTATTGTGACAAGGGCACCAGGATTTTGACTTATAGTTTTTGTTTTTAACTGTTGTTTACCTGATGTGATAAAGGGTCTGAGCATCAATTTATAGATGTGTAATTGAAAACTACGAAGAGGAAAAAAGAAGTGGAAACGGTACCCTCTGGTAAACTAATGTAGCTATTGAAAATGGTCATTTATAGTGAGTTTTCCCATTAAAAATTGTGATTTTCCATAGCTATGTTAGTTTACCAGAAGGTAATTGCACCCACCCCCAAGAATACAGCAAACCATGATTTCAGGGAAACTCCAAAAGAAACCATGGATATTTCAAATACCATCTCGTTATTTAACAGTTTGCCATGGAAAATCACCATTTTTAATAGGTAAACCATCTATAAATGGGCCATTTCCCATGGCGATTTTAAATAACCAGATGGTACATATACAAGGGTTGCTCCCAACCTACCATCAATTATGTACCATGATGTCGCGATGTGACTTCGTTGAAATTTATCCAAGACCCATACAGTACCTGCCACCGAATTTCATTCCGCATGACTCCAATATGATTCCATGTCATTCAAAATTATTTCCAAAATTGTTCCCCAATATTATATCATTTCCATATTGATGCCAATATTGTTCATGGGATTCCACTTTTTCAATGGAATTCATTGGAATTCCAACATTACTCCGATATGACTTTCAATCACCATGGTATACCTCAATTCTAGTCATTCAACCATGACATGAATATGATAGGTATACCAGATTGGGACATTTCATAGATCATAGACCATATCTATACAATCAATATGGTATGTTATTTTATAAGACCGTATCTCTCATATACCGTTTATATATATATAGCATATATATATAGCATATATATATATGGGTAAATGTTAATAATTCACCAACCTGAAAGAAGGCTGTCTTGGGAATGATTTCCCTATAAAAACCATGATTCCAGGGCTCGGGAGAATAGTGAGGACGTTATAATTTACCCAAATACATATAATATGATATTTGTCAAATATATACATATATATATACACCATAAATACCATATATATATACATATGTATATATATATATATGTATAAAGAGATACCATATATGTAAACCATAAATATATACACACCGTATATATATACATACCATATAATCAAGATATATATATCTACCATAAATACCATATATATATATATGTATGTATGTATGTATGTATGTATGTATGTTTATAAATATAAACATCTCATAACTGATGAGACCACTCACCGGGGATGATTTCTCCCCACCTGGACGATCCCGTGCCCTGGTTTTCACGGCGCCTTGGGCGCCTTGGGCGCCTTGGGCGAGCCGTGAACATGTTGCTGTGGCAACAGCTTTGGGTTTATGGTGATTGAAACATATGAAATACATAGCTAGATAGTGTTAGATGATGTCAAATGATGTTAGATGATGTTAGATGATGTTAGATGATGCTAGATGATGTTAGATGATGTTTGAATTGCTTAATGTTAAATGATTAGAATGATTAGAATGATTAGAATGATTAGAAGGATTATATAATGTAATGTAAGCAAATCTAACTGTAACTATGATTACAATAGATATAACAGCAGTTTTTTTTTCTGAGTTTGTGTGAGGTCATGATGTTTTTTTAAAGGTCTATGATAGATGCACCTAGAGTTCTTTTTTTCAATCAAGAAACATTGCCAGCTGGGCCTCAGCTTGTAGGACGAACATTCCATCGTGTGGGATGCTGCCAACACCCCTACAAGGGCCATTTCAGGTACCGATAAAAATTGGAGGTATCTACCATGTACCATCTGGTTATTTAACATAGCCATGGAAAATCACATTTTTTAATAGGTAAACCATCTATAAATGGGCCATGTCCCATGGCTATGTTAAAAAACCAGAGGGTATAAGGCATCTTTTTCAGGCCTGGAAAAAATGGTACATCACCTCCATTACCCTGAAACTCTCAATAAAGATAACCATTGTTTCCCTTGCTATGACTGTCCTATAGGTTGAAGCGACCCTGTCGTAAGTGGTGAACATAACATTAATATTAGCCTTCTAAAGACCCATAGAACAGAGTTGTCCCCAGTGTTTACAACTGGCAGAATATTGGTGTCTCTGAAAATGTGGTGTGCGGTACTCCCTCCAAATTGCATTTTTGAGAAGCATTTTTGATAGGCACATCACATCATCTATAAATGGGTCATGTTTCCCATACTTGGTGGTCCAGCTAGTAAGTGGGTTTAAACCAGACTGGTTGGTGGTTTCAGCCCCTCTAAAAAATATTAGTCAGTTGGGATATTTCCCAATATATGGGAAAATAAGGAATGTTCCAAACCACCAACCAGCCCATAAGTGAAACCTAGCCCATTTATAACCAGGCTTATAAAACCTACCCAGACGCTTCGTGGGATGAACCACCAAGTACTGTAGGATTTGTGATAGAGCTTATATATGGATCTTATATATATATATATCACCATGTTTATAGCTATTGCATCATCTACAAATGCGGCCTTTTTCGATACTTCAATTGCCAGAGGCTACCACCAAGGACTTCCACCACCCATGAAGCCAGCCATCCCTCTCCATTCATCCAGTTACCATTCCGTTTGTCGTGAACTTGCCCACGCTGTGGCAGGCGCATTCCAGTCCTCAGGACGGGCCCAAGATATGAAAAACATTTTGGGTCTCAGCAAATTTGAGAAACTTTCAAACAAAACTGGTTGGTGGTTTCAACCCCTCTGAAAATATTAGTCAATGGGACGGGTTATCCCATATATTATGGAAAATAATCCACATGTTTGAAACCACTAACCAGGAAAAAAAAAATATTGGCATGTGTTCATCAATTGATCCCATTTTTCAGGAATACGGAATACCCTGTGGTAAACTAACATAACCATGGAAAATCACAATTTTTAATGGGTAAATCCACTATTTCTATGGCCATTTTCAATAGCTAACTTTTACTTTACCAGAGGGTAATGAAAATAGTGGGTGAATAGTGGGTGAATAATGGCTTACTAATGGGGAAAAACAAATATTCCATTCATATAAGATATGGGTTCATATTTAGTACTTCATTCAGGAATATATGTGCGCTGGGAACTTGAAAGATCCAGGTCCTTAAATCAAATTCTGGACGATGCCATATTCCTAGTTTGACCTCCTCCCAAGGCTTCCTAACCACCAACTACTCGGGAAAGACACAAAAAGCTATTGAACATGGCCAGTCATAGTGGAAAATCACCATAAACTATGGAAAATGGCCAGTTAGAGTTGAATTTCCCATTCTCCATTGTGATTTTGCATACAGTACAATGTGAGGCCCCCGGCCACGAAATCGCTAAGTTGGGGTTCACATAACTCCGATTTCACTATGGTTTATGGTATTTATTACTTATAACTATAGTTACTGGGGCTTTTGTTAACCAACAAATATAACGTTTCGGGGCCCCACATTGTATCATATGCTTGGATTTTGACTCTGGAGGTTAATATTGAGATTCATAATAATTATTCATATGTTTTTTTGACCCTGATAGTAGTTTTCTGTATGTTTACCAAAAGGTACCACTATTCTTCAGGTAAATCCAAACTATCCACAGCCAGCTCGTCATTAGTTCAATGGCCATTCCAGGAACCGATTTATTGGAGGTACCTACCATATATAAGGCCTATGTAAGGCCTATGTAAGGGAATATTCTTCCAAAATCTGGCCTATCCTATCCACAGCCAGCTCGTTAACCATTGTTAAACCATCATTAACCATCATTTACCATCATTAACCATTATTAACCATTATTAACCATCATTAGTCACTAGTTCCCCAGCCCCCAGTGACACTAGTTCCAGCCATGGGATGGAAATCATCGCCAAGTTTAAGGCACGTTTTTTTGGCATGGGAAAAAATACCACATGAGCCATTCTGACATCGCTAGAAAAACAAACATATTAATGGATCTTATATATGGCTGGTGGTGGATCTTATATATATATATTGGGAAATCACTAGAAAATTCCACGAACTGCCATTGAATCACCAAGTACTGTAGGATTTCTGATGGATCATATATATATATATATATCTATATCTGGTTGGTGGTTAAAAAACCCATCTTGAAAAATATGAGTTAAAGTCAATCGGAAGGATGACATCCCATATATGAAATGGACAATAAAAAATGTTTGAAACCACCAATCACACTACCATTGAATCACCATTAGAATCCATGAAATCCCATTAAATCACCACTTCTTTCCAACTCTGGAGTCTTTCAAAACACGGTGTCCAAACCGTCCAAGGCATGTGATTTCCTTCAGCATCAGTTCGTAGGGGCGCGCTGTGTCTCGCAGGGGTGCGCTGTGTCTCGCAGGGGCGCGCTGTGTCTCATAAAGGCCCGCTGTGTCGGCCACCGGCGGCGTTTCAATCTTCTCAGTCTCCAAGGAGTGTGCCCTGGGGGGTTCGGGCAGCCTGCGCCCATGCTGATGGACTCATAGGAATGAGCCCCTCCATCATTGGATGATTTGATACACACGTGGAGCAACTTTGTGATTCCGTTCCCTTGTATTTCCCTCTTGTGTCCTGTCCAAGACTGCGAGAACATGGGAGGACATGAGAAGTACTAAACAACACAAGCACATCATAAAATCACATTGTTTCTTAATAAGCACATTCAAGAACAAATCCAGCAGAACAAAGAAAAACGACAAGAAATGACAGCACAAGAATGACACATATGAAACATATGACAGCTGTCCGTAAATATAAGAAAAACTTAGAAAAACTGTCATAATAGTTCGCAACAAACAAAACCATTGAGCGCACATTGGCTCTCTACAATGTGCGGCCCCCAACCGTTATGTTTGTTGGTTTAGATTCGCCCCAGTAATTAGTTCGTTATTTGCGTGCCATAAACCAGAGTGAAATTGGAGCCATGTGAACCCCAACTTAGCTATCGAACGGGGGCCTCACATTGTACTGTATGCAAAATCACAATGGTTAATGGGAAATTCAACTCTAACTGGCAATTTTTAATAGCTTTTTGTAAGTTTATCCTTATCATTTTCCATAGTTTATGGTGAATTTCCAGTGTTTTTTGACCAATTGCTAAGTGGGATGATCCTCCGCATGCCGCATCTTTTCTCGTGCCATAGCTGTTGGAGCACCAGATTGGGTACACCTCAAACCATGCCGAAACGTACAAACTCTCGATTACCCTCTGGGAAACTAACATAGCTGCCATAGCTGTGGAACATCACATTTTTTAGTGGGTAAATCAACGAACTAAATGGCAATTTTCAAAAGCTATGTAACAAATAACCAGAGGGTGTAGAGGGTATATCCCATTCATAATCCATTAAATCACTATAAAGCCCCATCAAACCGCAATAAATCACCATTCAATTACCATACCATCAGCATCTGTTTGCAATGGAATCACCAACCATCATCCAGTTCTCCGGGCGCCACGGTTGGAGATTCCAGAACGCTTGGATAGAACGGGTGGTTGCATGGATAAAAAAGATGGATACAGTAAGTTGTATGATCATAAAACGGGATAGTATGATAATCTTGTCGGACAATTAGAACATATAAGTACGTGCGTTTTCCTATATATCTATATATATAAATAACAACCCACTAATGCAACTGGGAATCATGAACTGGGTTGTTTCAGATATGGTTCTTCCCCACAAACAAGATTCCAGGGACACCAAGTAGAGGTCAAGGATTCCTGCAAGGGATTGCGAGAATCCATCAACATCCCCAACATATCAATATGGTATAACCGTTATAACCCCCCAACCAAATCATTAACCAACAGGGAGGCGGCATGAGGTCGTTATACTTTATTCGGCACTACGGCATGAAGGTGGCCGCACTTCGCCAAGGGGTGAAAACAACCCAGTCATATATAGAATACCACCTATTATATATTGGATTATAGGGGTTATATACTGTTTTATTTAAATATATAAATATATATATATATATAACATCATATGTGTCAAATATATACATATATGTCATATATATATATATACACCATAAATACCATATACATATATATATATAGATAACATATATGTAAACCATGTATATATATATGGATTATAAACCTATATATATATATAGATACCATATATGTAAACCATGTATATATATATATATATACATATATATATATATACATATGGATTATAAACCGCTTGCTACGTGGGATGGACATCCAAATCGTCAGAGAGAGGGTGCCAAAGTGGATCTTGTGGGAAAAAATCTCGATTCCTAAGCAAGCAGCTGGTGTCTGTTTCACTTCCTGAATTGGCATTTTAGCTTCCCCAGAATGAGGGGCCCCCCAGTTATAAGTTTGTTTATAAGCCCCAGTAATTATAGTTATAAGTACCATAAACCATAGTTAGTTATCGGAATTATAAACCAACTTAGCTATCTTGGGGGCCTCACATTGCAGAATCCTCCTAGTGTGTTATCAGTGCCAATAATTGCACCGGTCGGAGAGCCAACTGCTCAACGGTACCCACGGTACCCAGTTCCATGGATCAGTTGCAGCCATGTGTACACCCTGGTCATCAAACAGTGCAACACATGGCAATTGAAAATCCCAAAAATACTGGAGGTTTCTAGCTGGGAAAATCACCTATAAAATCACCAAAAAAATGGTGGATTTTCCAGCACGCCACGTGAGTACCGGAGGCTCGCGGCAAAAAAGGGTGCTCGTGGGGTTTCCCCACGTCAACGCCGAGGGTCCAACTGCTGCGAAGTGTCGTACCTCAGCTGCGACAAACCGAGAACAAGGGGCCGTGCAGATACCTTGGCCATTGCAGTCCCTTTCCATCCCATTTTACCCTCCAGTAAACTAACATATGGAAAATGGTCCGCTTATAGATGATTTTCCTGGTAAACAATTGTAATTTTCCATATCTATGTTAGTTTACAGTTTACCAGAGGGTATATCCCATTACATTCCATTATATCCCTCTTTCCATCCCAATATATACCGCTATATCCCATCCATCCCTACTATGCATCCATTGTAAAGCCACAAGAATGAAATTTAACCATATCAAACCATAGGAACCCCCATCCCAACCCCCATCTCAACCCTCATAAAACTAGAATCGTACCAAACCATTCAAATCAAACCCAAGAGACCCCATCATATCCCATTAAATCACATAATATCCCATTATACCCTACACCCCCATACCAATAAAATCTTTATAAATCTCATAAAATCGCATTAAATCCCTACTTGGTGGTTTATCCCAGTTAGTAAGTGGGTTATAACTCCACTTATAAGTGGATTAACCCTACTTATCCCATTTGAAACCAGGGTTAAAACTCACTTACTAAGTGGGATGAACCACCAAGTATCCCTATAAATCTCACAAAATCCCATTAAGCCCCATTAAAATCCCATTAAATCCCATTAAAATCCCATTAAATCCCATTAAAATCCCATTAAATCCTATTAAAATCACATTAAACTCACATTAAATCCCATTAAAATCCATTAAAACCACATTAAATCCCATTAAAATCCCATTAAACACCATTAAAATCCCATTAAACACCATTAATAATCCCATTAAATCCCATTATAATCCCATAACATCCCATTAAAATCCCATTAAATCCCATTAAAATCTCATTAAAATCCATGAAAATCCCATTAAATTCCACTAAAATCCCATTATAATCCCATTAAATTCCACTAAAATCCCATTTAAATCCCATTAAAATCTCATTAAAATCTATGAAAATCCCATTAAACCCCATTAAAATCCCATTAAACACCATTAAAAGCCCATTAAATCCCATTAAAATCCCATTAAATTCCGAATAAAATCCCATTAAATCCCATTAAAATCCCATTAAATTCCGAATAAAATCCCATGAAATCCCATTAAATCACATTAAAATCCAAATAAAATCCAAATAAAATCACATGAAATCCCATTAAGTCCCATTAAAATCCCATTAAATCCCATTAAAATCCCATTAAAATCCCATAAAATCCCATTAAATCCCATTAAAATCCGAATAAATCCCATTAAAATCTCATTAAAATCACATTAAATCCCATTAAAATCCCATTAAATCCCATGAAATCCCTTTCCCATCAAATCACATAAAATCTCAATCTATCCCAATCTCTCGTGCTCCATCAATTTCACCAAGATGCCACACGTCGCCGCCCCAGCCGTCCCAGCCGTAGCCGTAGGTCCAGTCAGCGGTCCAAGTGGCAGCGCCTGCCGATGCAGATGAAGGGCTTTACTCTGAGGATATAACTGGGTAAACAATACTATGGTTATATATCCCATATGCTCCATGGTGCTGGAATATGAATCCCAACATTAACTCTCAAAATCACCCAAATGTAGGTAAATATACCATACATGGCGCCATATATTCCGATTACGGGTTTACCAGAATTTATGGCTAACATATATCTGGGTAAACCAAAACATTTCACTGAAAAAGTTCGGCAATTTCGGGATAGTGATCTTGAAAGCGCTTCGCTAATCATGAGCAGTGAGGTCATCACCGAACCAATCATGAATTGGGAATAGTATTTTTCAAACATCCTCACAAGATTGGACAATCAGGATTTTTTGTTTTTGCGAGAATAAATGAATAAATAAATAAATGAATAAATAAAAATAAATAAATATTAAATAAATAAATAAATAAATAAATAAATGAATAAATAAATAACTAAATAAATAACTATTAAATAAGTAAGTGTATATACATATAAGATTGTGTGTGTATGTACGACAGCTGCGAGGTGCCGGGGGTAAAAACCGATTTAATGTTGATCGCAACGATCTCTGTGCACGGCCTGTTGAGGTCAAACCGTCTTTCTCCATCGAGGTACAAGGCTTGGTAAATGCACCGCCATGCCCAAAGGAAAAGGACGTGATCGGATCGGCAGCACTGTAGGTGGGACATTCATCAGCGTGAAGCTCGATAGCGTGGCCTTCATTGTGATTGTTCGAGTTTACAAATGCTTCCCACGCTTTGTCCAGCCAGAGCAGCCAGTCTTCCCGCGCCTCGAAAAACGATCGACCGCACCTTGGGTATCGAATGCAAATCTCATGCCAAGTAAAAAGATGTGCACCATGCTGTAGCCTCTGTTAATGTGTTACATAGCTATTGAAAATGGCCATTTAAAGTTGTTTTACCCATTAAAAATTGTGATTTTCCATAGTTATTTATGTTAGTTTACCATAAGGTAGCGGCCGCAATGACTGCACACGTTTCTTCCCAAAAGCCTCGTACGCTTCAGAGTCACATCCCACAACTGAAATCTCTTCCCTGCTTCCCACTGTTCAGATTTTGTACAATGTGAAGCCCCCAAGATAGCTAAGTTGCTTTATAACTCCAATAACTATGGTTTATGGTACTTATAACTATAGTTACTGGGGCTTATTATAAACCAACTTATACCTGGGGGGCCCCACATTGTAGGTACATTCTTCTGGTTTTTATCCGCTCCAAAATGTGAGCGGCAAACGCAAGGCGCCCCTGTCACCTGAGCACTATAATGGTAAATGTCTTAACTCAACATCACCCAACATAGTGGGGAGAGAATCTCAAACAGGTACTTGCAAGTGATGGATAAAATCGCCAAAAAAGGACCCCTCAACTAATTGAACTACCATCCTGGAAACACTATCATGTGGTTGGGAAACTCAATTCGTGGCAATGTAGATACCAACAGCCACGGTAGCTGGTGAAAGCCCCACTATAGTTGCATGGCCAATCTTAGATACCCTGCCAAAAGATGAGATTCTGAGCTGGTTAGTAGATAATCCCATACCAAAAAGACTAAAGGATGAGTTTCTACCCAGTTGATTGACCTAGGTGTTAACCCAATTTCTAGGTATTAGACACCACTTCCCCTGTGGTAAACTAACATAGCGAACTGGACAATCACCACTTTTAATAGGTAAATCAATGATAACTGGGCCACTTTCAATTGCAAACTGTTAGTTTACCAGAGGGTAATCAATTACTAGGTATTAAACAACACTTATCACTTATCACTGTATTAATCACCCATGGCTTTGAACAAAAAAAACAACTGCGAATCGCCAAAAACAAGCACCTGCGCCTGAGGTCCAGGACGTCCAGGATTCCCTCGCCTGACCGATGTATCACCAAGGAACTGTTGGGGTGTACAATCAAACCCATAACTGGTTATATTAAATTGTTATATCCCCCCATAAACCCACCAGTTGGGGATCCGGAAATGGTGATATCCTGGTAAAAAAAAATCCACCATAAACCCAACAGTTATATATGGGAATATAATCTTCATGAACTCTTTGTCTGGAGTCCTTCACATTGGTTTGTTTGTTTTTGGGGAGGTGCTGCTCTGGCTTCTTTGTTGGTCAAGATGTTTGTTTTTGGATTGCTATGAACTCGTTGTGAGGGTTGGGAGGATATAACCATGGGCTGAATCGAAACCAACATCCATGAAGCTATGGAAAATACACCTATAAATAAAGGTTTATAGCTGGTTTACAATGGGATTTAATGGTGACTTGATGCTGATTGTATGTTTTTTTTTAAATATATATGGTGATTTATTGCTGTTTAACGGGACTTCATAGTGATTTAATGAATTATGCATGGGATATACCCTCTGGTAATTTGTTACATAGCTATTGAAAATACCATATTTAGTTGCTTTACCTATTCAACATGGTGATTTTCTATAGTATGTTAGTTTACCAGAGGGTATCTATATATAGGAAAATTTCCAGCACGCCATGTTTGATTCCGGAATGGTATGGTAGTTTAGAACATCCTCATCAAATTGTCGAAGTCGTGTGTTCCAGTTCCAAGTCATCAATTTGGTTGCAATAACTAATGTTGGGTTTGTGGTAGATACTCATCCTAGGTGCGAAACTAAACCAAGAAACACAACTAGGGGGCAGCACCTTGCAGGAAAGAATACGCACGAACAAACAACTCATTGGGAATCCCAGAAACCTTGATCACAACGACATCATAACACCCTTTTTGATCGTCAAATCTCATGGGAAATAATAATGTTCCTATGTCTAAACCAACTCTCAAGTGGACCGGATTTGCCCAATATTCACTATATTCAAAGCAGTTGTCTTCCAAATCTACCTCTTTGGGTATCGATTTAGATGGATATGGATGCCAGTTAGTAAGTGTTCTAGAATCTATATACATACATAATCCATATATCATACATATATATATAATATGTATATGTATATAACTGGCGATATTTAATTTTTGTAACTGGGGTGACTATTCTATATATTGCTACCCAGAAACACGTTTCCTGTGTCCATAGTCAAATAGTAGGGATCTCTAGTGCCATCATCCAAGCATCATTCGGCCTGAACAGTTCGGCGATTTTGTGACAGTTACCACTTACAATTCCTGAAAAAATCCAGGGAGAACAGGGAGATCGTGATGAAATTGACCCAGATAGATGCTCCATATTATGACCCCCATTCTATTATCACATATTATCCCCATATATTTCCCGAATATTATCCCCATATATATCCCGAATATTATCCCGAATATTAGCCCTAAATAAATTTACCACATGCGACATATTATCCCTAAAATCCCTAAATAAATGATCCCTACATGATCGATATTTTGATGCTCCAGATCCCCAGAACTTCGCGGCTCCCCGGCCTTGCCGCCCTTGCCTTTGCCCTTCGAACGGCTACCTGTCGGGGGTTCTGAGGATTCTGATGCATTGGACTGGTTCCATCAATGGGGGTACCCCATTTATGGATGGTTTATAAGGGAAAATATGGGAAAATCCTACTAAAATATCATATTAATATATATATTAATATATATATATATAATTGGATTTAACAAATTGGAAACATGAAGGGTTTCAATTTAACCAACAAATATGGTTTTCAATGGATTGGTGTAATTAAGGGAAATTCTTAACCAGAAAACATGGATCTACTTACACATGTAAAGGGGTTTTCTGCAGATTTTCCCTCAACAATTCTGGGAAATGGGGCTCAATATATATGGATGACGAACAAAAATCTGTCCATGCACAATGCACAATTGCCCAGTGGATTGGTCTTCTTGGGAAAAGAAAGGAAGCAGAAACCATGGATTTATTTGTCCTTTCAAGAGGTTGCCTGCAAATGTTCCCTTAAGCCAATCCAGTGAAACACTCATTTCAAGATGATTTACTTATGAAACAAGGTCAGTTTCACTGGCTGTCTCGGTTTGCCAGAGGTGTTCTCAACCACTTTCCCCACAACACAGCATTTTGGGGGCCCATCCCACAATTCCAAGCACACGGGGCATCTGCTTTTTGAGCCAAGCAGCCAAGCAAGAAACGTTTGCGGAATGTATCGTCGGTCAAGCGCATTGCACTTTCTAGAATTTGGATCTTCCCTTGTTCCGCCAACAGTGACAGGCGTTCTTCCAGCCGATCGAAGCTGTAGGAAACACTCCGGGGTGACCGGGCAACCAGTGCAGCAGTCTGCTTGGCTGTGAAGAATCTGCGGAAAAACCCTATCTTCGGCATCAAGTTGTCTTTCACGCTCAATCCAAGAATTACTGGGAAATCAGCCACTACTTTGACAACCTGACCTCTACTTAGACCCAGGCCCAACAACCAGCTGACTGTTGGTTTCAAGTTTTGCTCAATGCTGTAGCCAAGGATTGAAGGAAAAAACGCAACAGCCTTTGCAACTTGCTTCTTGTTCAGCCCTAAATCAAGCAGCCACTGAACTGTCGGCTTCAAGTTTTGCTCAATGCTGCAGCCAAGGATTTGAGGAGAAATCGCAAAAGCCTTTGCAACTTGCTTCTTGTTCAGCCCTAAATCAAGCAGCCACTGAACTGTCGGCTTCAAGTTTTTCTCAATGCTGTAGCCAAGGATTTGAGGAGAAATCGCAACAGCCTTTGCAACTTGCTTCTTGTTCAGCCCTAAATCAAGCAGCCACTGGACCGTCGGCTTCAAGTTTTGCTCAATGCTGCAGCCAAGGATTTGAGGAGAAATCGCAACAGCCTTTGCAACTTGCTTCTTGTTCAGCCCTAAATCAAGCAGCCACTGGACCGTCGGCTTCAAGTTTTGCTCAATGCTGTAGCCAAGGATTTGAGGAGAAATCGCAACAGCCTTTGCAACTTGCCTCTTGTTCAACCCGAAATCAAGCAGCCACTGAACTGTCGGCTTCAAGTTTTTCTCAATGCTGAGGCCAAGGATTTGAGGAGAAATCGCAACAGCCTTTGCAACTTGCTTCTTGTTCAGCCCGAAATCAAGCAGCCACTGCACTGTCGGCTTCAAGTTTTGGTCAATGCTAAGGCCAAGGATTGTAGGAGAAATCGCAACAGCCTTTGCAACTTGCTTTTTGTTCAGCCCCAAACCCTGAAGCCATTCTAGCACTGGCTGCACAATTTCTTCGATGGAAGGCCTAGTCACCAGCGCCCGTTTTTGCAGCATCTGAATATCACTGTGTTCGAACCCCTGTGCTTTCAAAAAAACGGAGATCTCCTTTGGTGTGCTGCCACGTCCCCTAATCATAGCTCCTTCGCAAAACTGTTGAGCGGATCTTGATATCACCACGTGCTTCTTCTGCACTTGTTTCTGCAAGTGAGTTTTGGCATCAGGGTGCAAGACATGTTCTAGTCTGGGCAGCATCTGCTTCAACAAGGCCTTCAAAGTCGTAACAAGCGACTTGCGATCACCTTGACGCCAAGCATCTGCACCTATGCACAAGACATGTCCATCCAGTTTGCTGCCGCTTCTGTGGCTGATCCGGACCACAAAGGAACCGCTTGGCGCAAATGCCAACAATGTCAAGTTCTTCAACTGATCCCTGACCATGCCTTCCTTTTCCGCATGACGCCAATACCCATCATACTCCACAAACAGAGCTGCTGCCTCATCTTTCAACACACCATAAGTAGTCAAATCTGGTTCCAAGCAATGCCCACCCCATCCTGGCGGCGATTTGAAGCTTCGAAACAGCTCTCCAACTGGTGTACCCGGCATCAACAGCTCCCCCAAAGGTGCCAACAACTCAGCCTCAGCCACGCTGCCAGCACGTTTCCGCGGCCACCCTTCTTGCCACCAGAGGGGTGGCAGTTTGCTCGGCGCCAGACGGCTGAAATGCCTCCACTGCACTCCCCATAGGCACCGCATTGTCTAAATCCAGGGGTCAGATTTTGGAGATGGCCCACTGCTTGAGCACAGCTGAGGGGCGACTTGGTGATCACTACTTGAAGGATCACCTACAAATCGGGGACTTGCTAAGCCGGGTTACCAGGGTTAGTTATTAACCACTTACTAAATGGGATGATCCTCAAAGTAGTGGTTTTTTTCCATACTTATGCATGGGGATTTAACCAACCCCTCAAAGGTGACGACCCCAAAGGGTTTTTTCGGCTAGCCTTAGCAACCCATCATATTAACCAGCTACGATCGGCGTTGGTCACCTCTTTGGAGCCTTCAGCTCTACCAAGGATACGACGCATTCAACCCATCCAAATGGCGAAAGCTATGGAAAATGGCCATTGAAATAGTGGATTTACCCAGCTAGAAAATGGTGGATCTTTACCCATAGTTATATAAACGTTTACCGGAGGGTTTCACCAACTTTCACCAACCTTTCACCCACCAACCAGGAAATTACCGTGACGATTTTGATCAACTATTCAGGAAAGGTGGCATGCCACCGGTACAATACCAAATCTACAATTACCCTCTGGTAAACATAAAAAAAAACTATGGGAAATCACCATTTTTAATGGCAAAACTCACTATTTCAATGGCCATTTTCAATAGCTTTTTGTATGTTTACCAGAGGGTAACATCATTATTCATCATGGAGCAACCTATTTATCCTCACCAATGTCTGGTCTTGTATGCCCAACTTCACTTGGTTCGATCAACATTGCTAAAAATGTTGATGAATTTCAGTTGTTTCCCTCGTTCTATCCAATTTTTCCTGGTAGAAAAAACACGTGCGTGTGATTGTAAACATCCACACATTTATGGGTGAATATCCAAATGTTGTTTCGTTTACATACATGGGGTGTCTGAAAAAATAGGGTGCCCCCATTCCATCCATCGGTTATGTAGCCATATTTTCCCTCCTAAAATTGTAATTTGGGGAACTAAATCCTCCATGTTCATTAAATCCCGATAAAACCCCCTTCAAATCACCATTAAATCCCCATAAAATCCAATAGAATCCCACTAAATTCCCATGAAATCTTCAATTTTCAGACACGCATATATAACCCCATGGCAATTAATTCGCCCAGACTGCGGCTCGGACGCCTTGCGAGCCATGCGCCTGGGGAAGTCCATAAGCTATCTCAAGTATATCAAACATTTGGGGATATATTTGGAATATATTTGGAATATATTTGGAATATATTTGGGATTGATGGGATATAGCGGTACATATTGGGATCGAACAAATTGATATAATGGAATGTAAAAGGGATATACCCTCTGGTAAACTAAACTATGGAACGTCAAAAAAAAATAATGCCCAAACTATCCATGTCAGTAATAATTCACGACATTGCAATGTCGCCTCCAGAAGCATACATTCAAATGTTAGCTCCAGAAGCCAACATTGGGAAATCAGAGGTTGTCGGACAGGTATATCTGTCGGAAAGAGGTATTCATAATGTGAGGTGTCCATATGCAGCCATTTTCCATCATGACCGTACCTGTGTGCTGCCCCTATGCGCCGGTCTGTGGCAAACAGCAGGGTGCTTAGAGTTGAAACCATATACATGGGGAACATAGAATATCGGTTGTACTTGTTCGAGGCCGATGGGGGGGCACTTCATCATCGGCTAGCTCTTCGAAACGGAAACTAGGTTGCGCCCTCCTCCCTGCTGGTGCTGACTGCTGACTCACATTCCCATGGGAGAATCAGATGACAGTGGGTTGGATGAGGTTTACAATGATTTTTGAAGTGTGTTTTGCAGCGGTCACTCTTTTGGATCTGAACACCGATAGCGGTGCACTTTGGTTTCGCCATGGTGGGGCCCTCGGGTCAAAGCAAAAAAAACTGTGACCGAATGTGTTTTTTTTTTTTTTAATTCGCTTTGTTTCATGTGAGCATGTGTATGTGTGTCTGTGTCTGTGGCATCGTGTGAGTTATTAGTTTTACTTTAGGCCCGGAAAGCGTTGCCTGATGCCACGCCTCAAATGGTGATGCTACAGGACACCTTCAAGAGAATGAGAATCAAAGTGTTTGGGCATCAACATACATATATATCATTTAGAGAGAGATAAATTTCATTGTCGTGCCAGGATGCAGTGGAATGCTACATGTTGCGTGGTGACTTCATGAGGGACCTACGCGACGATGACCACAAACAATTCTTTGACCTTAACGATGTGGAACCATGTAGTGTCAAAGGTATTGAACAGAACTTCGGGTTTGTGCTGGAGGTAGTTGCTACGTTGGCACCCGAGCCGGTGTGGATGGCGCATGCTGGTTGGAAGGCAGGGATATACCTACACAAGAAAAGCCGAGGGAGTTGAACATACTTGTTTTTTCTTGTATTTCTGTTATGGCTCGGTTCAGGCTGTCTTCAGAACACTTGCAGACCGATATGGCATCTTTCCAGCCAAGACCCGCAAGAAAGTGATCAAGGACCAATAATTACACTCCATTGGTGGCATTTGTTTTGCCCAAGAAATCAGATACATCAGGTCTAACATTTGAATGTATGCTTCTGGTGGCGACATTGCAATGCAGTAAAACATAAACATGCTGACATATAGATATCCGTGGTATTCTTATTTCTTAGTTTTCTGGGGGCGACATTATATAACCATCTCAGCGTTCCAGCACCTGCCAGGACTGGGCATCGATGACTGCAGGCCATGCCAGGGCCATGTGCTTGCACGCTATGACGTTGGCATCACGCGCTGAGGGTGCCAGGTGGGGAGATATTACCATGAATATTATATCATATCCCTTTATTGATTCACATCTATCTTAAATTGAAATGGATATGGGTTAAAATGTGAAACCTGAGGGGTTAGAGATTTTAGTATATATTGAATATGAACTATCCAACCGCTGGGGGTACCTGGTTTTGACCCATGCCCAAATTGAGCTTCCCAAAATGGGGGCCCCAAACATCCAAACTTATAATAAGTTTGTTTGGTTTGGGGCCCCCCTAATGTTCAAACCCCCATTGCATGGTTTGTTGGTACCATAATTTTAGGAATGTCCTTTTCCTCACTGAACCACTCAATGTATCTGTTTTTGTTCCTCGTGCAGGAGCTCGAAGATGATTGAAGTCAAACGGTGCATTTATCTAGCACTGCGAGAAGGCGGGGCAAACACCATTCAAAACATTGCGGGGCTCAAAACCACTGGATTTTTGGAGTGACTTTGGGGGAGTGGGTTTGAGGTCAAACATGTATTCAGGTAAGAGTATGTATCAACAAATCTACAAAATGTACTTTGCATCCGCCCAGCTCGCACTAATCTGCCTAGCTCGCTGCCCCGCAGCGTCACCTGACGGTGACTATGGCAACATGGAGAAGTTGTTGGAAGAGCGAGTGGCCGGCATCAACAACCAGGACAGCTGCATTTATTCGCGACTGTTTCAACATAGGGGTGCCCCAAGTTATCCAATTTAATCTTTAAAAAAGGCGGTTGGGGCACCCACAACCATCTCTTTTTTTGAGAAGTACCTATATCTATTTGGCACGACTCAAACATTAGTTTTTGTTTGGGTTCACTATCTATTTCAGGAGCTTGAGATGGCATTGGCATCTTCTGGTGATGACGCCACGGGTTCTGTCCAGGCGAGGCCAAATCACAAGTTTGTTCATTGACACACACACACACACATATATATAGATATATACGTATACAATATAAAAAAACACATTTGTATAGAGAATATTAGATTTGAACATGGTTTGAGGTAAACACGTATTTGTGTTAAAAGCTTCGCTCATCTGCCAGGCACCACGTGTCCCGTGTGGAAATCCGAAAGAGCCTTTGGACGCTGAGGACAGCAAATGCGCAGCCTGCCGCGGGGCTGGTTCTCTCTACATCTAGATATCAGATTTTTTGTCTTTTGTACAAAAGCCAAACCACAGGAGCCTTGCAAAGATTCGGAGTCAGTCATGGAGAAGGCTGGCCAATCGAAAGTGATAATTTTGCTTCGTTTGGCTGACAGATGATATAACCCTGCATGTTTTCTACATGAGCTGCCACTCCAAAAAGACTTCTGTAAGCCAGCAATCCCCTGATATGTTTAATATTTGATTTGCTATTTAGTTTTCATCCAGAGGGGTTTTAATGCTATTGGCTGATGTCGTTTTTGTGAGCGTCAACCCAAGCCAGAAAATTAGCAAACAAAACAGGCCGCTGGCCTCAAGCATCTCAAGAAGCCAGAGCGACAAGCTGTCAAGGACCACACTTTGAGAATATCAGCAAACATTCAAACGATTTTCAATATTTGTTTAAATGCAGCATCGTTCAGTCTCGCAGGAGAAACAACCGCTTCTCCCTGCCGGTGTGTCGCTTGATGGCAGCCTGGAAAGCCAGGTGGAAGCTATCTCGAAGTCCCTGGCCTCTGCTTTCAAGGGGGATGACTTGGTCGTTGCCCAGGCGAAGGCCTTGGCTCCAGTGTGTGCGATTGTGTTCATGCGATGATATGATCGCTGCCAAATCCAAATTGGTCAACATTTCTAATCCAACATCATCCAGCTCTATACGTTTTGAGAAATAGGTTCAGATTGATAGTTATAGTATGTTGAATCAAATAGTCATTTGCAGGTCAGAGCTGCTGCCAAAAAGCGATCAAAGGGTGATGATGAGTGCGATGATTCCAGCGGAGATGGTGACAACGCTGAACCCAAGACCAAGAAACGCCGCGCAAAGACAGGTGAGGGAAAGGCCAAGGCTAAGACGACCAAATCTAAAAGCAAGGCAAAGAAGGGTGAGGATTCCACAGGTTCCAAAGCAGAGAAAAGCTCCACCCCCACCGACACTGAGGTACCCCCCACCGATGAGGTGGCCCCTGAGGTTCCAGGCAGCACACCGGCAACTGAGTCAACACCCGCCGAACCTTCAGTGGATTTGGCATCGCTTTGGAAGGAGAAGGACAGTTGTGATGTTACAGTGGGGTGTGGTGTCCCAACAAAAT